AGCCCAGGCAAAGCAGGCCCAGTCCTGGGTGCCTGCGGCCAGCCAGAGGGAGGGAAACCTGGTTCCTGGGTGCCTGCGACTGGCTGGAGGAGGGAATCCTGGGTCCAGGTGCAGGGCGAGGCAGAGGCAGTTAGGGGTGATCAGGCCAGCAGGGAAGCAGTTAGGGGCAATCAGGCTGGTAGGGGAGCAGTTAGGTGTGATCAGGCAGGCAGGCAGAGGGGTTAGGGGTGATTAGGCAGGCAGGCAGATGAGCAGTTAGGAGCCAGCGGTCCCGGATTGCGAGAGGCAGTCTGACATCCCCTGAGAGGTCCTGGATTGGAGAGGGTGCAGGCTGGGCTGAGGGTCCCACCCACCCCCATGCACGAATTTTGTGCACTGGGACTCTAGTATATATATAATTTTGATGTGTTAATGTTTTGCTAAGAGCATGGTGCATTCTAATTATTTTGCCACCTGAAGAAGTAGGAGAACCTTTGCTTAGAATGTTAGCTGCTAAGAGGGCAGAGAAGATTCTTTGTAATAATCTGACTATATCAAACCATGCTCTTATCACCAGCTAGAAATTTTTAAAGACCTATATGGTGCATTGCAGAAAAGTCCCATCTTCACAGTCTATGTGTGAATCTAGACCAGCTGTGGGCAAACTACAGCCCGCGGGCCGGATCCGGCCCGTTTGAAATGAATAAAACTATTGAAAAGAAAGACCGTACCCTTTTATGTAATGATGTTTACTTTGAATTTATATTAGTTCACACAAACACTCCATCCATGCTTTTGTTCTGGCCCTCCGGTCCAGTTTAAGAACCCATTGTGGCCCTCGAGTCAAAAAGTTTGCCCACCCCTGATCTAGACAGTACTACAATCTAGCATGCTGACCATTCGTTCCCATTTAGACTCTAGCAACTTATCTACTCTCTGTTTTTGTTTGTTTGTTTTTTATTGATTTCAGAGAGGAAGGGAAGAGGGAGAGCTAGAGCGAGATAGAAACATAAGTGATGAGAGGGAATCCTTGATCAGCTGCCTCCTACAGGCCTACACTGGGGATCAAGCCTGCAACCTGGGAATGTGCCCTGACCAGCAATCGAACCATGACCTCCTATCTGGTTCATAGGTTGATGCTCAACCACTGAGCCATACTGGCTGGGCCTACTTCTCCCTGTTTTAAGCCTCCGTAAACCAATTGGAAAACAATTAAATTTTCCCGTTGAGTAAATTTCTACCTAATACTGCTTTACATTATCCAATTTGTCTGTGGATAATTTACAATAATTTCTGGATCACATTCTAGGACTGTGAACTCAGGATGTAATGTTAATGTCTGCATCTACTGTTAAAAAATTTCCAGCCTCTACCTCAGAGAAAACATAACTAGGTCAGTTAAACCCACTGAAGAAAGTCAATGCAACTGTGCAATTCTTTGTTTAGGCTGGATAATTAAAGCCTGACCTCAGTGTGAAAGGCTCCGGACTCTGGCTGGGTATGCAGTTCAATCAGACTCTCCCCCTAGAGGGAAAAGCATGGTGTTACAGGTAGAAAATAGAGCGGCGATAAAAAGCAGTGATGATGGCCCCAGCCGGTTCGGCTCAGTGGACAGAGCATCGGCCTGCGGACTGAAGGGTCCTGGGTTTGATTCCGGTCAAGGGCACATGCCTGGGTTGTGGGCTCGATCCCCAGTAGGGGGCATGCAGGAGGCAGCCAATCAGTGATTCTCTCTCATCATTGATGTTTCTATCTCTCTCTCCCTCGTCCTTCCTCTCTGAAATCAATACAAATATCTAAAAAAATTAACGATGATTGCACAGAAGTGTCAACGTGCCTAACACCACCGAGCTGAACACTGGTAAAAATGCCATTTCAACCATTTTTGTTATGTATATTTTACCACAACTTAAAAAAGTATGAGTGGTGTAAAGCAAGGTGTTGAATACAGCAGAAATGAATAACAATTGTTCATAATAATGAATGCGGTTATATTGATTTTATAGTATGCCTCTTTATACCATTGTTGTTATTAATCATGTGAACATTAGTAATAATCAGTACCTATATAGCAGTTACTCTGTGCCAAGGACTATTCTAAGCACCACATAGAAATGTAGCTTTTGTCACTGTCTCCTCAGAAAATGAAAGTTTTACACCATCTGTCACATCTGTGGAATCATTGCCAGATTCCAGACCTTCCGAAAGCCTCTCAGTCAACAAGGAGGAACAGCTGCTAGAAGGCAGTTGAGATCAATAGGACAGGTAAACGTATTACCAAATTTCTTGCCAAAAAAAGCAGGTGAATGTATGAAAGTATCCGTACATCATTCTTGAGACATTGAGAAGCTGCTCCTAAATGAAAAATGTGAACGTGCAGATGAATTTGAGGCGGCTCAGATGTGAGCGAGTGGGAAAGCACAACAAAATAGAACGATCACATCAGCAGCCTAACATCTTGTCATTGTCCAGATATACCTGTGTGAGTGTCTCATATCTCAGTGAGCCAGTTTCCCACACGGGACACACTTTTACCCGCTTTCTCCCTGCTCCATTCCCTCTGAGCAGCATGTCCGGTCCTCTCAACCTGAGCGAGCCAGTGTGCATCCGTCACATTATCAATATATCTCCCTTTCAGCCTGGTCTCCACCGTCTGTCATTCACAGTTAGCAGATTAGGGACACGTTTTGTATCTGTATGTTTCTCTTACCTCACCGTCAGATCCCCGGGTCCTTCCAGGTAGCTGTTGTTTTTATTTCTTTTGACTTTGCAAACAGACTGGACTTACGGGCATGGTGTGGGGATGGGAGGTGGAGGCATATAGGTGGGTACCCCATCCACAGTGTCAGATTGTGGACCAAGGGAGTAAGGAGAAGGGGTAGGTATGTCAGGGAAAGCTTACAGGGACCTGAATCTAAGTATAAAGCTCTTCTACTTCTCTGGTCTTCATTGACCTTTATCCCAGTCCGGTTCTTTGGGGTTCTGCCAAGATCACCTTAATATATGCCCAATGTGTTCAAGGTCTGGGTCAAATCACCTTTTCCAAAAGTTTCCACAGGCTGACTCCATCCTCCCGGGGTTACTCCTTTGATTGACTTTTTACCACTGACTCCTCAGGGTGAAATCTTCCTACAGTCTGTGTTTGCTTCCTAAGCTTGTATTCTCTATCCAACCAACTAGGTAACAAGTGTTTTGAAGAGCCAGAGTGGTGTGTTTTATTTTTGTTTTATTTTCTCCCCCACAATGCCCACCATAGTGCTTTGTTGAGTTTGCCCAAATGGTTCTGAACTCAAAAGATAGTGATTATTCAATTATTCTAAAAAGTGTCACCAAGTTTTTAATTTCTCTTAACAACTTGAAAAAATCACGGAGAACTAATGCTGTGTTTTCTCTGACCCTGTGTATCTATGATCCGCTCATAGCCTCTCTTTCCCGACTCCTCATTTCCAGTGACGAATAATGCTCAGGTTGTATCTGTTTGTTTCTTTTTCCAAGTCGTGAGGCCACTGTGAGTCACTAATTTCTTTCCCATAGCAACCAGTTATTACATAACAAAGAGTGGAGGATACGGCACAAGTTGTAATTTCATCTTCATGACTTCAAAGAGAGGAATAAAAATACATGGTTTTATTTCAAAATAAAAGCGGTTTTAACATTTCTACACAGATCAGATGTAACCCAAACATTTTATCCATCTCCAAAGTGATTTTCATATCAATTAATAATTCATATTAATATTCAGGTCGACCTGTCTGGGGAGGATGAATCATAATCATTATCATGATCATTTCCATTTTATGGAACAGAAACCAGACTGAAGGAGAGGCCGGGAGTCTGCTCATCTTGTTTCCAGTTTCACCTCTGACTCGAACTAGCCGTGGCCCCAGGCAGGTGGTTGAAACGTCGTGGCCCTTTCTCTTCATGCAGTGGGTAATGAGGCTGGATCTCTGCTCCATTCTCGTCTCTCCCCTTACTGCTACTCGGCCTGATTTCCTTGCCTCTATTATACCTTGGTAGATAAGAAGAGATCCCGCCCATTTCTACAGTAGAGGGACCTCTTGCAAATTGCAAATGTCGGACTCATTGTTAAAAAATTATTAAGAACTTCAAGAGAGTGACCCCAGAGCATTAAGTTGGCCAGGGGCCCAGACTGACTGGCATCGCTGCACTGGGCCAGTGGGTACCAGCTGTCCCTTAGGTGAGCCTATGTTTGAAACAGTGCCACGTAATGTCAGCTGGAACGAAGCCAAAGTTCCGAGTTCTATGTTTAATGACCCCTAATGCCAAACATCCGCAATGTGCCATCAGCTCAAGGGAGAGCAGGTCAGATTCATAGGCCAACGGGGCTGCTGAGAAGATGCTTACTTGCGTTTTCCTCGTGGGGGTCAGAACAACCTCTGTCCTGTGGGTACGACAGAACATTTGAGGCTTTCTTCGTTCACACGATAAGATTTTTTCTCTCTACTGTCCAAAAGTCAACATTAAAAATCCTCATTTGTTTCCTTTACTCTTAAACCAGTGTGTGTGTGTGTTTTAAAATATATTTTTATGGATTTCAGAGAAGAATGGAGAAGGAGGGAGAGATAGAAACATCAATGATGAGAGAGAATCATTGATTGGCTGCCTCCTGCACCAACCCCACTGGGGGGTTGAGCCCGCAACCCAGGCATGATGGGGAATCAAGCCATGACTTCCTGGTTCATAGGTCCATGTTCAACAACTGAGCCATGCCGGGTGGGCCATAGTGTATATTTTTTAAAGAAAAATGTAGGAGTGACAGCTACCCAGGTATGGTTTTAAACATTAATATCTCTTTTATTAATATGTTCAGGGTTTAAAAGAACTATGGTGAAGCATGTTAACTACTTGAATAGAGTATTACTTTATAGAGCAAATTTAATCATTGTGAAAGATAAGCCATTTTCTTGTTGGTTCTTGTTATTTTACCATTTACATTCAAATTAATGCAAAATTACCAGCTATATCTCAATTAATGGTAGCCAGGAGTTACATTATAAAAATTTCACATATAAAATTTTATTCTCTAATAGAGAATTTAACATAGCTATAAAATACATTGCCCACTCTAAGTGGCTTGATACATTTAAGAGTCCTTCCTGTCTCTCTGAATATTCAATTCTAGTAAATATCACAGCCGAAGAGCTCCAGGCGAAGGGCAATACTTTGATTCCACGTTTTCGGAATGATACGGATAAACCTGGAAATGATTGGAGGGTTGAAAAAGTTCTTCACATGCCCTTTGATATTACTATTTCCTTCAAAAATCTGAAAGCAAAAGATGAGAAAATCCTTAATGGTAGTATAATGAGTACACAAATCTTACAGTTAATTTTAAAATTATTTTTGTTCAAACCGAAGGCATCCAAGAACACAGACAACATTAACAGAGATGACCCTCAATGAAATCCCACTCCAGACAGGCCTCATTAGGAATTCCGCCTCCCCAGTGATCTGAGTTGAAGTAGAGGAGGAGAAAACATTTGATCGGTGTATGGGCAGCTACAAGCCCAGCTCTGCCTTCAGGCCCTTTGCCACTGAGTGACTTGGAGCCAGTTACTTAAGTTTTCTGATTCTCGATTCCTCGTTGGCAAAATGGGGATAATAAAATTTTACCTTATGGAAGTTGTAAGAATTAACAAAAGTCTGTAAACATAACAAGTACCTAGTAAGTGACAGAAAGTGGTACCATACATGGTTAGCTCTTACCAATATTTAAAATAAAATGCTGCCAAAACCGGTTTGGCTCAGTGGATAGAGCATCGGCCTGTGGACTGAGAGGTCCCAGGTTCGATTCCGGTCAAGGGCATGTACCTGGGTTGCGGGCACATCCCCAGTAGGGGATGTGCAGGAGGCAGCTGAATGACGTTTCTCTCTCATCGATGTTTCTAACTCTCTATCTCTCTCCCTTCCTCTCTGTAAAAAATCAATAAAATATATTTTAAAAAAATATTTAAAATAAAATGCAACCATGCGTCTATAGTCCTCCTTTTTGGATATACCCTATAGTTTCAGCTAAACTGTGTCCCTGCTCCATTTTTGTTTTTGGGGGGTTTTTTTGCTTGTTTTTTGCATCCCCAGCAGGTTCCCCATGATTCACACACAGCAGAAGCTAACCCACGGTTTGTTTCTGACAATGATGCTTATCCTGCCAGGAGGACATCCTGGTACAGTGAGAAATAAACCAAACCAAATCAGAGAAACAGCCAACCCAGGCGCTGGTTACTTATGGCCATGGGTGTGTGAACAGTCATGAACAACAAGCATATTCAAGGCAACGCTAATGCAGTGGTAGAGTTTCTGGACCCCTCTATGGACTGCATGTTTATGTCCTCCCAAAATTCATATATAAACTTTGATACTTTATATAAAACTAGAGGCTCGATGCACGAAATTCGTGCAAGAGTAGGCCTTGGCAGCCTTGGCAGCTGCAGCCCTAGCTTGGTCCGGAAGGACATCTGGTCTAAGTAGCATATTATGCTTTTATTATTATAGATAAGTGAGGTAGTATTAGGAGTTGGGGCCTTTGGGAGGTAACTAGGATTAAATTAAATGGAATTAATACACATAATGAAGGGGGGAGGAAACCTGAGAGCTCTCTCTGCGTGGACTCAACAAGGCAGGCCATGTGAGGACATAACAGGAAGAGGCTCTTACCAGAACCCGACAGGGCCCGCACCCTGATTGGGACCCAGCCGCCAGGAGTGTGGGAAATAAGTGTTTAAGTCAACAGCAGCCCAAGCTCCATCTCTCTCGATGAGAGGTAAGGATGTTTCACATCAGACCCTGGAGCTTTGTTCTCACTGCTTCACAGGGGGCTCAGTCAAAGCAGGAGGCAATGTGCATGGTCCCTGTCCCAAGACCAGTTACCTGCAGAGCTAGGGTTTAGAGGGGGGACCTGCCAGCATGTATTTGTCCAATGCAAAGAGCTACCTGCAAATGCAAGGTACCATTCTCATCACAGCACCATTTCCTAACGGCTGCCTTTTTGCCCAGATACCACCCTGTACCTTGTCCACCATGGAGGATTTCTGCCTGTAAGGCTTCCATTCCACTCCCTGGTCACTGTAGTGGACGGCGAAGCTCTTCACGTACATTTCAGAGGAGAGGGACTTGCAACCCTGTGTAACAATCGCAGTTATCTTCTTGATTTTGAGCAGATCGATTTGTAACCACTGCTTGTTGTTGTTTGCCTGTGAAGATGAGGAGAACACATGGGTAAGACAGATGCCAGAACCTTCGCTTTTTTTAGACCAAGTTACTCAGAAATGCCAGGGCTCCAAGGGTTTCTTTTCTGTCTCATCCCTTACGACTCCTCGAAGCCTTCCCTCTTCTGTTTGTTGCTACAACGCGTATGCTCACTTCTTCCGGAGCCGTTCACACATATGCAATCATGATCTGGGTCCATCTTTGTGTCCCTTTGTCCCTGAGGACAGGGGCCGATGAGTTTCATTTCTATGCACTTATCACAGAGCATTGCACACAGTTGGTGTTCATCAAATATTTGTTAAATAAACAAGTAAATTAAATTGACTTGGGAAAAATATTCAACCGATAAATTATATTTAAGTGTTATTCTGGTAAGCAAGTTGTTTTAAATGCTATGATGATATTACTGATTACTGAAGGGTTACCTGGGAAAGGATGGAATAGTATCCTGTCTTTATTTTAGAAAAGCCCACTTTCCTTTCTGTTGTTAATGTCCAATAAGAGACATAGTCCAATTTCTTCTTTTCAGGTATTTCAAATACACTGAGAGACTTGATAAAGCTAGACCTAGGGCTTGATATGCACAGTAATTGTCCCGCCTCTGGCCAAATAAAATGCCTAGGTACATGCTTGGTGCTATGCATGTGGAGGAGGAGGGTCAGAGGACAGATTGAGTTTTAGAGTAATCTGAGATGAATTTTCAATGCTGGGAGATTTGTCAAGCCCCATAGTCTCATTCAGTTCTATATAAAATAATGAAATAATGAATATTGATATATTTGTCTTAACATCACTCATATGTGCATGCCTGTATACACATATGTATACACATGTACATGTATATAGTCATATACCCTATATATCTTTAGAGAAAATTAATTGGATTAAAAGTATTGTATTGGATGATTTTTATTAATTCTGTTATACCCTTTAGTGGCATTTGGTGGTATTGTAGTGTCTTCAAACCAAGGTGGTACTAGTGAAGCAGAATATAGGTAGCTAGAGGGGTTTACTAGGCATAAATTTTTTTTAGGCATAGAAGGGGTAGAGACCCTTCCAGCTGAATGCATGCCTATATATGTCTCGCTTAGATTTTCATCCTCTCTAAAGAGACCCTATAAACGCATTTCATGCTAATAGGTTAAGCGAAACAAATAATTGTGACCTAGAATTCCAGATTTAAAATGACAGCATTAAAAATTAAAATTAGCATTTCCTCGTTGGAGCCTTTATTATTTCACAAAGACTAAGAGCATATTGTATTCGGAGCAAGTTTTTTTAAAAGGCTGGACCATGGAGGGTGGAGGACAAGGTTGCGCCATGAACAAATCTAAAGTGTCATCTGGGAAACACCTTTCTTTTTCTCTCTCCTTAACCTTTTACTCTTATTTTTATGATTTTTTAAAATTACATAAATGTAATGTGACATTATTAACTTTATTATTTTATCTTGTTGGGTCTCAATTCCCCCCTCTGCAGAATTGCAAAATGAGGTGTTTGGGTTGGAGGAAGGAGCACTGAGCTTGCCTATGGGGAGAATGGGATTTTTGAGGAGAATAAGAAGTCTAAACAAAAGTATTTATTTCATCTCCTTTGTGTTGAGATTTGAAAGGAAAAATCCAGATCAGATGCTTGCTGTTCTAACATTCTGGTGACCCTCTGAAGGTCCAGACATGAGTTTCAAGACATAGATACTGGTTCCCAAAACTATCTGTACAGGGCCCAAGGTCTTCTAGTCACTCCACTAGCATCTCTGGTGACCTAATTTAAGGACAGGAGGTGGCAATCCTTAGCAAGTCCAGGGAATTGCAGTGGGCACCTTAAGGGAGGGTTAGGAGGAGAGAAAACAGGGAACTTGGATTAAATTGGTTGATGGGATTGTTCTCATTTCTGATGTCATTCTGATGTCTCAGGTCAGTTGAAGAGTGCAATAAAAATGAGTCAGTTATTAAGTTACCCTAAAATTGTCACCTGAATTACTCTGTGGGTGATATCAGGGGCAATATAAGCGCTGTTTCTCCAACTTAGATCACTGTTTTACTTCCTGGTTTTGCCCCATTTTACTATGTGGCCAATTGCCTAAAGCAAGCGTTTCAAATCGCAGCTGGTGGGCCGCATGCCTCAAGGCATGTGGCTTTATTATTTTTTAAATTTTTTAAAATTTTTTATTTTATTGGTTTTTTTACAGAGAGGAAGGGAGAGAGATAGAGAGTTATAAACACCAATGAGAGAGAAACATCAATCAGCTGCCTCCTGCACATCTCCTACTGGGGATGTGCCCGCAACATGCCCTTGACTGGAATCGAACCTGGGACCTTTCAGTCCGCAGGCTGACACTCTATCCACTGAGCCAAACCGGTTTCGGCGAGGCATGTGGCTTTGAGTTTGATATGCTTGGTCTAAAGGAATGTCACCAAGTTCTCAGAAAAATTGGAACAAAAGAATTTTAATGGCACTCCTAAGAAAATGAAAAATATTGCTAAATGGGGACATGGTGGAGGAAAGGAAGAGAAGATGTTGGAAATCTAAATCACTTAGTGCTAATGTAAGTTGCCTCAAAGAGGATTTGCAAACTACAGCCCAAGGCCAAATCTGACCTACCACCTGTTTCTGTAAATAAAGGTTTATTGGAACTCAGCCGTGATAATGTTTATGGTTGCTTCCCCGCTACAACGAGAGATGAGTCGTTTTGACAGGAAATGTATGGCTCACAAAGCCCAGAATATTTATTACCTGGCCTTTGACCACCCCTGGCTAAATTAAGAATTCGACGAAGAACTGCAAAGATGACGATAACTTCTCTGTGAGTCAGCGTTAGAGGGAAAGCTTGCAGGTCAACAGGTATGCTCGTTCTCAGGCCCAGGATCACAACCTGCAGAAACAGGGTGTGCTGTCTGGCTTCCCAGGCCCCCCATGTTCCTTTGTCTGCTCCTGGAAGCTGAGAGAACTGTGTTAACAGGGATATTCACCTTGGCTTGCCAGGCATTCACCCGACCCTGGGCATTCAGGCGGGCACGGGAGGGTTCCCAGTAATCTCCCCACCAGGACTTTTTAAACGAGGAAGCTGTGATTTGCGTGTCTTCTATCTTCCCACTTTCCAAACCCAGTGGGGTGGAGCATCCTGTTGAGAGGAAAGTAATGGGATTAGTATGCACCACCAGCGCTCCCTGTACCCCATTTTGTGTGCAGAGGAGGGAAGGAATACTGTTCCTCAGAGTGCCAGCAACAGCAGCCATCACAACAATCAACCGTGTGGATGAACAGAGCTGACTGTCCCATTTTAGGGAGTCAGCTTGACTCTATGAGCTGATCAAACTACTGTTGACATCAGACACCACACGGGAGGAGAACAATGATTTATGGAGCTGTCCCAAGGAGTGCGGCTGCCTGTAGGAAAGCTGTATTTCATTGGAGACGGTACAAGCCCCTGCTACCTGGGCACTGGCACAATGCCCATCCCTCATCCCTCATGAATATCAAGAGTGTATGTGACATTGCCTGCTCGGATAAGAAACTGGTTCCAAGGTTGGGCTACCTTCTCCACCATGAGCGTGGCTCTTCCCTCCACCCTGAGAGAAGGTGCTGTGGCTTTCCAGCAGGCTGCCACAGCGAGTTTCAGGTGCTTATATAGTGGGCTCTCCCTCCCCTTAGTCGTGAGTAGCCAGGATGGGTCGGATCAGCCAAGCCCTGAGCCGGCTACTTTATTCTATTTCCCCAGGCCCAAGGCAGGGATTACTTTCTGTATGTGTTTTGCAGTGAACATTTTTTGGAAAGCACCACTTGAAGAGTCAGAGAGGGAGAATAGTTATTATGACTCTCAAACATCTTTGTCCTACATCGTAGAATTATATTATGGCCACATGTGGTCCCCTACATCTATTTATACCAGAGGTCACATTACATCCCCTGAAAAATAGCAGCTTAACACAGAAGAGGCTTGGGCACCTACATAGGATGTGAAACAACACAGAGCCTGGTCAAGGTTTCAGGAAGTTGGGAAGCAGAGGTAGATTGCAAAACCACTCACTGGATACTGACCAGGGGTGGGCAAACTTTTTGACTCGAGGGCCACAATGGGTTCTTAAACTGGACCGGAGGGCCAGAACAAAAGCATGGATGGAGTGTTTGTGTGAACTAATACATGTTAACACTGCTGCTGGTGAAGGAGCGGAGGGGAGAGCAAGAGAACCCTCTGCGCTTTCGGCTCCGCGGGCCGGATAGAACAGCAGAACGGGCCGGATCCAGCCTGCGGGCCGTAGTTTGCCCACGGCTGATACTGACGCATGCCGGGAATGTGGCCAGATGCTGTTATTACGAGTGTCCTCGAGGACTTGGGAAGAGCCAGGCCTAGTTTGCATCTCAGTCCTCTGGGAAATGGGCTGAGGGAGGTCATTCTCAGCTGGGACCCTCCCTGGGGGTCAGGGCGGAGACCATGTCATCCAGGCGCTGCTCACAGCGATGGCACCCGCCCCCTGCCCGGGAGAACCTGTGTCCCCCTGAGTCACCGTGAGCGTTTACCTGAGTGGAACCTCTGCTTCCCAGAACGTTGCTTCAGGAGCCTACGTGATTGAAGAGAACTGAAAGCCCTTCCCCTTCTCCCGCACCTCCCGACCTGGACTCTCTGAGCGGTGGTAAGATAGTCACGCATCTTGGTTCCTCACCGTTAATCTCACAGCCTTGCAGCTCCAGGCGCAGGGCAGGTCTGTGGTAGAATCTGGTTGGATAGACCCTAATGTATCTTGCCACAATCGGTGGGTCAAACAGATTTTCTTTTACTGTAAAGGCGTCGGAGTTGCCATCAAAATACTAGAGGAAACGAGATAAGCTTAGTTATGCAAAAATTCTCTGTAAAGTGATCTTATAGTAAAATGTTGGTGTAATTTAATATGATGATGTTAAATTTTCATGTGGCCAGAACTAAATCAATATGGTCTTAAAACATATTGAAGGATGCTTCCACTTTAGGAATATGGAACAGATGTACTTTTCCCGATTCCTCCTGTTAAGCACAACTAAAACCATGAGAACGCTCTGGAAGGGGGAGAGAAGGCAGACTAGCTAGAATTCTAGGACCCTAGGAACAACATGGTCATGGGCTCCCTGGGTTCCTTTTGGCCCCACAGACCCTAGACTTGGAAGAGAAGAAGCCAGCAACCAGGAAACACCAATGAGCACAGACAGAAACAGCCCCAGCACAACCCTGCTTTCTCTAGCCTCAGAACCAAGAGAGGGCAGCCCAGCACGACAGAGCTCTTTTAGACAATCATTGCTCTCCGGCAAGCTCAGCTCCACAGAAACAACTATGGCCTCTCCTCATCGAACAGCAGCGAAAGCCAAGGGCGGAGCCTTGACCTCCATGGGCGTGAAACTGCGATGAGCCACCTCTGTGCCCTCACTGGGGTGTGTCAGGAGGCCAGGTGGGGGCCAGCTCCTACCAAGGCTCCCACCGCTGCAGCGTCCGTGGAGAGCATCTCATCCCACCAGCAGCAAAGAGGAGGAGTCCCTGGCAGGTGGGCAACCTGGGCTGGACCCCCTGGCAGTAGGAGGCCGTGCCCCATGCGCTTCCCCTGCCAGAGCAGCATGAGATATCCAGCTGAAACAGAGGTAGGCGCAGACTAAGCAACCAAGTAAGCAAGACAGAAAAGAGAAATACGGTAGAAAGAGTAATGAGGCAAAGAGCCAGTTCTTTGAAAAGATGTTAAAAAAGGCAAATCTCTAACAAGACCAACAAAGCAGAAGGAGAAGAGACGCAAATGACCAGCACCAGACGTGAGCAGGCAGTCTCACCGCTGACCTTGCAGACGTCAGAAGGATGATAAGGGATGGACAAGCAACTCCAGACACGAATCTAGCAATTTAGAGGAAATGGATCCACTCATTGAAAAAACACTATTCCGACTCACCCAATAAAAAACAGATAATTTGAAAAGCCCGTAACTGCTGAAGAAATTTAATTTGTAATCTTAAAACTTCTGGAAGAAAAATCTCCAGGCCCACATGGTTTCACTGGTGAATTCTGCCAAATGGTTAAGGAACTAACACCAATTTTAGACAATCTTCTCCACAAAATAGGAAAACAGAGCACGCTTCCCAATTTAGCTTGTGAAGCTAGAATTACTCTGATATCAAAACCAGAAAAGACAGTACGACAAAATAAAACTACTACATATCAATATCTCTCATGAATCTAGATGTAAAATTCTTTAAGCTAGAGACTCTCACTGAAATCTATGTTCTCTCTCTGATACTGATTAGTAAGAGCCGTCATTTAGGATTTTGCTTATCTATCCTAGAAATAGCTAAGTGATAACATAGAAAGTTAGTCATGGAGAATATAGAAAATTGGGAAAAAATTAATAACATCAGAACTCTTGATGGCATATTTTTAACATGAGCCCCTTAAGCACCAGATCAGATACGCTGCCATACACCATCTGCCAATCTGAAAAGTCCGGGTATTTCGTTTGATGATAAAGTGATTTTTTAAAAAAAATATTTTATTGATTTTTTTACAGAGAGGAAGGGAGAGGGATAGAGAGTTAGAAACATCGATGAGAGAGAAACATTGATCAGCAACCTCTTGCACACCTCCTACTGGGGATGTGCCCACAATCAAGGTACATGCCCTTGGCCAGAATCGAACCCAGGACCTTTCAGTCCGCAGGCCGACGCTTTATCCACTGAGCCAAATCGGTTAGGGCGATAAAATGATTTTTAAAAAGTTTTGTGGAGTTTTGAAATTTCAGAAGTCAGGCGTATCCCTTTAATTTGTAATGTACAGACCCATCATTTTACCACTTTCCTTCATTAGGCCCTAGAAAGCCCTCCATGTTTCCAATGCCTAGAAAAGTATTTTTACAAAAGCAGAGAGTCATGGTCACAGTCATAGTGACCATCAAGTGGGTCTGGAGACTCTGAAAGAGACGTGCACACTGACCATCACGTTCCTTGTGCTGTTCCCTTTGAAAATCTGCCAGTTGGTCTGGTCGGAGCTGTAGGCCACACGGAACTCGGTGGTGAAGTAGGACTTCAGGTAATGTTTTGCACCTTGGGACTGGATGCCTGTGAATACGACTTCCCTTTGCATGTCCACCTGCAACATAGCAAAGCCACTGAACAGAACTGTCCTTGTCCACAAGTCACACGCCTCCGTAATTCATTGAGCAACCAACCAGCTTTCTTCAGAACTAAAGAGCCAGCACCTCAGGTTTTACTTAGAAAAATAATAAAATGCAGTCTGTATTTGAGCACAGAGGACCTGAATCACATCTCAACCACTAACAAGCTGTGCTTGACGCTGAGAAGTTAGTTAACCCCTCTGTGTCTCAGTTTTTTCATCTGGAAGATGGGATATTATTAGAACCAATCTCAGAGGGTTCATTTTAAGGATGTTATCTATTTAGAATATTACCTGGCACCTAGTAATTGCTATTTTCCCTAACAACATTGCAAAGAAGCAACAAGAAGAAGTTATTAAATCAGTGTCACTCTTACTATTACAACTAAAGGCCCAGTGCACGAAATTTGTGCACAGGTAGGGTCCCTAGACCTGGCTGGCGATCAGGGACAATCGGGGCCGATCGGGGCCTTCTGGCTGTTGGCCAGGGCCTTCCTTCCCTGGCTGCTGGCTGCTGGCCTGGGCCTTCCTTCATTCTGCACCTCCCCCTTGTGGTCAGCACATGTCATAACGAGCAATCGAATTGTCGGTTTCCCAGTTGAACTCCCGAGGGGACAATTTGCATATTAGGCTTTTATGTATATAGATAGCAGTAAATATTATCAGATTAATGTCATACCTGGATCCAAGGTTTAGAGTCAAATTCTGAAGTTTTTTCTGTCATCCATGCATTATATGATCCACCATTGTTTAATCTTGCTAATTTGGGCTTCCAGTAACCTAAATCCAAAGGAAGAAAAAAATGTATTCTGAATTAAAAACACACACACACTTAGGAATTTCTCAAGCGAGTTCAGTCCCAGTGGAAAACCAGATCCCGGAGGGCCTTCTGTGTAGTTAGAAGACCAGGCAGGTGGCACACGCTCCGGATGGCTTAGCCCAGGATGACGAAAGCGTGGCTTCAGGTCTGTGCTTGGTGAGCTGCCAACTGCCACCCACCCCCTTTCCTGGATACAGGTCGTGTTTATCTCCTCTCAGTTATGCAAATTACTGTGGCCGCTGCTGAGTGTGCCTGCCTACCAGGAAGACATGGGAGGGACTTATGGGAGCCTCACCGTCCCTTGCAATTGACCCCTTGATCTTTGGAAGGGCTCTGAGCAGTGAGGACAGTTAGGAGGAGTTCCTGACACACAGTGGGGCATCAACGAAGTTTCTCGAATAGATGAGTGGTGGGCACAGCAAAGGGTCCTATTAATGGGGACTCTAACATGTGCCCGATGAGGCCCCATGAATCTGGCTGGAACATCATGTGTGACCCAAGCCAGAATGGGAATGAATGGGGAGAGTCTTGGAAAAGGGCACATGGTCATGAGAGCAAGCTGTGTCCTCTTGCCCACTCTGCTGAGAGGTCAGACTGCCTCTGGAGAGGGACCACGCTCTTGGTCTTTCCTGGGAGAGACTCTTTAGGAACATCCTGCACCAGAGGGGGTGGCGGCAATGAGGGTGCCAAGCGGCTTTAGCTCCTGCCACAGCGCTCCTTCTTGTGCCAAGAAGCACCCCAAATGGAGCTGCTGTGCTATGTTGTGGTGGAGGGAAGCCTGGAGAGGAGCAATGCCCAGATTCTCCAGGCCGGCTGGCATTCCTGGTTGTACAGACTGTATCCTGCACAGCTGGCGGAGGTGCCTCTCACAGGCTACGCTGCTGCTGCTTACCCACAAACTCCGACGCCTTGATCTGGGTATCAGCTATGAGGCCTGTGCTCAGACCCAGTGGCATCTTGCATTCTGCAAAAAACCAGGACAAGGAATAATGTTTGGTTAGAAAGTACATTTAACAACACGTAACTCCATGGCTAGAGATTATACTTGTGGTGGGTCAGTAATTAGATATTGTTACCTGCCTTGCATAGCACTGACTTAATTCTGATTCTAAAATGGTAAGTGTACTAATAAGACTGGTACTTTAATAGACATAGTGACACCCTATCGGAAAATAACTGAAATCCTGAAATGCAATTTGTTTTTAAACCAATTTCCGTCTGCTTATATCTTAAAACAAACCACTTTATAGCATTAAGTACTAGCCCTCTGGGTTATTTACATCCTGATTGCATCCCTGGAAAGGAATACCAGCGAAGGGGATGCAACCACTGAACTATCTGGATGTTGACACCATGCTTGGTACTCAACGGGTGCTTGATCAATGCTGGCTGGCCGGCCGGACAGACAGATGGAAATTTGTCCCGAGTCCTGGGATGCCGAGTCCAGGGACTCTTGGGGATTGCTGAGCTCCTCGTATCTTTTCCTCCTCTGTGCTAGGAGCCTGGAGGATTTCTTACATGCACTCTCCAGGGGTCACACATCATGAAGGAGGATGCTGTATGCTGGTTCCCCAGCTGGGAGGAATGCCTTTGGGCCGAACCATTTGGTTTAAGTTTCCTGGATGACTGATGTTTGCAGTATAATCAGACCGCGGCCAGAATGAAAGCACTAGTGCCACAGAATGTGCCTTTGTCATATCCGAGTTCCGAATTGAATGTTTCCTGTCTAAAGGTCAGCAATATTCTAGCAACAGGACTCTCCTGCTTAAAGGGTCCCACGGCTCTTGGCTGATACCTCTGTCTATGATGAGAAATGGCGTTTGCATCCCTGCTATCTGGTTTTCTCCAACCTCCGTGTTTAGGAGCCACCAGCCAGGTTTTGATGCCTTCATTTCAAGAGTTTTAAATGAACCTAAAATAGAGAGTGAAGGACAACATTGCACACTCAAAGATTAACAAAGGACAACATTGCACACTCAAAGATTTGGCAGCGATCAAAGGATCCTAATATCACTGCATCCCAGGGAGCTTTAGGATAGAACTTAAGTGTTATCCATTCATTTCTATGCAGGACTAGAAGTGTAACAAACAGGTCAAAACAACACACACACACACACACACACACACACACACGGACAAATAAATCACCCAGAACCTTAAAAAATAAAGCTTTCATTTATCTGAACAGAATGTTATGAGTTAACATACACATAACACAGCTTCATGGTCCTAACGACCAGAACAACCCAGAGTGACCCATCCCTGGGCCTCAAACACCTGTCCATCTTTCCTTTCCCTCTCTTCATCCCACTAGCTTTTCTTTTTTCATACAAGAAAATTAAAGTAAAACGTCTCCACATTTCAAATGTTTGATAAAGTTTACATACGTGGGTAGAGAATGCATAACTTGTTTCAGGACACCCGGAAAGAATGAGTTTCTGAAACCTCTGCTTATCCATGCTTGCGTTGGCAATTACTACTGCCAGTTAGTACTTCAGTTCTGCCAGCTACTGCTGTGAGCATTTCCCAGGTCGTGAGTAAAGATGAAAAGCTGATAGACATCCCTCGAACAAGATTGTGAGTAAAAATGAAAAGCTGATGGTCACCCCCCTTGAACAAGATTGTGAGTAAAAATGAAAAGCTGATGGTCACCTGCCTTGAACAAGATTGTGAGTAAAAATGAAAAGCTGATGGTCACCCCCCTTGAACAAGATTGTAAGTAAAAATGAAAAGCTGATGGTCACCCCCCTTGAACAAGATTGTGAGTAAAAATGAAAAGCTGATGGTCACCCCCGTCGAACCCTAAAAAGATGTCCAGCCTTTCCCTCAGGGACGAGAGATCCTTAGGGTTGAGGTTTAGACAGCCAGTCCACCCCAGCCTCTCAGGGCTTCTCCTGGGCTCCTGGGCGGCCGGCTGGCCTGGTCTCCCTGGAGACAAGTAAGGAGTGTGTCTGACTCAATCGCCTCTGTCCCTGATCTCAATGGAATGGGCTTTATTAGTGAGTCACTGGCACGTTTGAAACAAGCAAGAACTCTCCCTTTCCAGACCCTGAGCCAAAACGGGCCCATGGGGAATTCTGTGCTTCCGCCTGAGGCTGACTCACAGGGCAGCTCCCAACCCAGAGTCCTGCCTGGGATGCCTCCCTGAGCTTCCCAGGCAGCATTCAGCTGGTTCCTGGGTTTCCTGTGTCCACTGCAGCGGAGAATCAGTGGCATCAGCCCTCTCACACACACATACCTACACACACATACACACACATACCTACACACACATACACATATACCTACACACATACCTACACACACATACACATACCTACACAAACATACACACACACCTACACACACATGCACACACATACCTACACACACACACACACATACCTACACACACATACACATATACCTACACACATACCTACACACACATACACATACCTACACAAACATACACACATACCTACACACACACATACCTACACACACATACACATATACCTACACACACATACACACACATACACATACCTACACAAACACACACACACACATACCTACACAAACATACACACATACCTACACACACATACACATACCTACACACACACATACCTACACAAACATACACACATACCTACACAAACATACACACATACCTACACACACACACACATACCTACACACACATACACACACATACACATACCTACACAAACATACACACACATACACACACATACACACATACACATACCTACACACACACACCTACACACACACATACCTACACATACATACACATACCTACACACACATACACACACATACACATACCTACACAAACATACACACATACCTACACACACACATACCTACACACACATACCTACACACACATACACATACCTACACACACACACACATACCTACACACACACACATACCTACACACACATACCTACACACACATACACATACCTACACACACATACACATACCTACACACACATACACATACCTACACATACCTACACACACATACACACACATACACACACCTACACACACATACATACACATACCTACACACACATACACACACACCTACACACACATACCTACACACATACACATACCTACACACACATACACACATACCTACACACACACACACACCTACACACATACACACACATACACACACATACACATACCTACACACACACACACATACCTACACACACATACACACACACCTACACACACACATACCTACACACATACACATACCTACACACACATACACACACACCTACACACACACATACCTACACACATACACATACCTACACACATACACACATACCTACACAAACATACACACATACCTACACAAACATACACACATACCTACACACACATACACACACATACCTACACACACATACATATACCTACACAAACATACACACATACCTACACACACATACCTACACACATACCTACACACACACACATACCTACACACATACACACATACCTACACACACATACACACATACCTACACAAACATACACACATACCTACACACACATACACACACATACCTACACACACATACACATACCTACACAAACATACACACACACACACACACACACACATACCTACACACAATGCATTGGCACATAAGAACCCTTTTAGGTGACTGGTGTGTAAACCTTATCATTTTGCACACAAAGAGCTACAAATACCCCTGTTATTCTTTAGCTTTCATAATCATTAAAAAATTTTTTTTTTCTCCAAAGAGCCTCACGAATTGGTTTGAGATGAAGAATCCTATAGTTACTTACCCAAAGATGTCAGGGTGATAGAGTGAGGAGTAGAATTCAAGAAATCAAGACCCCCCCTTCCCCGCAGCCCTGGCAAACGTCCCTCTCCCTCCCGTAGGCTGCCTGAGCCCCGGGGGGGGGGTGTCATTCTGCCTGTAAGCCCCCCGACTCCGCCCCGCGTGGCACGCAGCGGCTGGGAAGAGCCTGCGCCGGACATGGTTTCTTTGCCGAATGGAGTCGGGCCACACTGTTAGCCGGTGCCGCAAGCAGTGCGAGCCCTCGCCGGCCTTTTACACCCTGAGTGCAGCTCTGGGGTGTGGCTTTGCTGGGATCCATGCAGAGCCCATCTCCACCCTCAGCAGTAAATGCTCAGGGAGATGAGAGGACTTGGGGACGCTGGGTGGCCTCCTCTGGCCGTGGGTTAGCCAGGACCTCTTTTCATGGCCCAGATCTTTACCAGGCAGCAGGGGCCAGACGCCGAGCTGGTGCTGCTGAGTGCCGTTTTCCAGCAGGGTCTGGCCGTGAAAGTGAACCACGTGGATGTCCCGGGAGCCGCCCAGGTTCAGCAGGTGCAACCTCACCCACTCCTGCTCGTACATCCTCAGGCCAGGCAACTTGTAAATCATCCCGTTGATGGCTGAAAGGACAGAGGACCGCAACCCATTAGAATCTGTGTGCACAGGAGAGAGGCTGCGAGGGCCTAGGCGGGTCTCCCTCTCCACCAGCTCCTCCATCAGCCTGCAGCGGGGGTGGGTGAGCTCCTCTCCCAGAACTTTCTCCGTCTCTTCCCCGGACTTTCCACGGCTCCTGTCTGTACTTCACCCACACAGCCTTTCCATTTACAGTTTGAAGTTTCCTTTGCTGCTAATAGAAAAGGCTGGTGTTTAGAGGAGAGAGAGTAAGTCAGGGGGTGTGCAGTGCCAGCCTCAGGCCCCCGAAAGTCAGAGATAGAACCAGGCCAAGTCAGGAGGTCGGACTTCATCTCTACAGCACCCACAGCCGCAGCGACTCATGCTGGTTCTCTCGTTCAAACGCCAGCTGCTCTGCCCCCTCCCAGCTTGGATGCCCAGGGTTCTGAGACGCATCCACTCTCCCCTCAGTGGGGTGTGTGTGTGTGTAGCACCTGGTACATCAGATCACCTTAAAAATACTACTGTATTTCAATGATAAAGCTTAGTGCTACCCCGCATTTAACTGGGACTAAAGTGAGGGAAGTTTTTGTTGTTGTTCTTATTGTTTATTCTTCTAAAATTAAAGGCCCCGCTGTGGAATTTCAGGAGCCAAGCCAGTGAGCTGTTGGAGGGAGAGGAGCTGAGAGCATTTGGCTGCCTGTTTTATTCACCTGTGCTTGGTGCCACCGGGAGCTGCTGAATACTAAAGCTGTTATTTCTGAAAGCACAGGTGGTTGCTTCTCCTACAGACATCATTTCCCTTTAAAGGTCAGGAAACAGTCTATTAAGCACTTAAATTGCAGAATAATGCTAAGTCCTCGTCAATGTATGTTTAACTGAAGCGCACTGGCGCATTGCTGTGGGTTTGGGTTCGTTTCGTGGCAGCGCCGTGCCTGTCTTTCAGAACCTCTCGTGTTTCTTTGCCTGGAGTGTCACCTGCTGGGCCCCCCGGGCCCCCCGAGACGTGTAGGGACCTGGCTTCATGGTCGCTCCTGGTTTCTCAGAAGCATCTCCTGCCTAATCTTTGGAGACCTAAGGGCAGGTGTCCCTGTCAGCCCGACTCCCAGATCAGATTGAATCAGAGGAAAATACCATGGAACGTGTGGGAGGGTTCTGCTTCTGAGGATCCACGTCTCCAGGAACTTTGGTGCTTCTTGTCATAGTACCAGCTCTTCTTTTCATCAAAGACCATGAAAAGCAAGATGAACTCCCTCATGTCCACGGGCATTCCGCTCTCCCTGTTCAGCGTTCCTTTCCGGCAGATCACAAGGGGGCCTATCAGGCCCGAGTGGATGTCCCGTTCCTGGAAGACAGCGGGAGGAATGGAGCACACACCCTGCCAGCACTCTCTCGCTCCTCCGGCGATCGGTCGTTGATCGCATGGAAGAGGGAAACTTCTTAGAGGCCTGACTGTGAGGAGCACAGATGAGCAGCTTCCTAAAGCTGGATCTTATCCATCTAATTCTATGGCATTCCTATCCCCTTCCTTTGCCTAGTTGTTTATCGTGACATGGAAGTCATCATAATGATAATAAAATATTGATGCTATAACAAATACTATTTATTGAGCACTTACTACTATATTAAGTATTTTGCCTATAGCCACTTATATAATTCTGACAACAATCCTATATGGTAAAAAGAATTCACTTATTAAACAAGTATGACCGACTATGTGTGATGTATGTTGTTATCTCATGTTTAACTTTGGAAACCGAGGCTAAGAGAGGACGAGGAATTTGCCCAGGACCACACAGTGGGTGACAGGGGAGGAACTGAAATCGAGGCCGGTACTCTCCCTACCATGCCCAAGAAGGAAGGGGTCTTGATGTTGTAGTTCTTCCACAGAGAAAGAGGAGGAGAAAGCTCATATTCGCTCCAGGAAACTGCAAATAAATGCCTTCCTCTACAAGGTGGTCCGTCTGACTGGGCCAGCCCTCGCAGCAACCCTCACTCCTCTTCACTGAGCACACCTTTCTCTCTCACCGTCATCTCTGTAGGTCTGCAGGGAGGTCCCTGCTATGGTAGCTGTGGGGTGTTGGCCACAATCCTTACACCTTCCTCACAAATAGCAAGACAAGCATTTAGCAAGAAATAATCTTCAGCCCTAGCTGGTTTGGCTCCGCGGATAGAGCGTCGGCCTGCAGACAGAGGGTCTCAGGTTTGATTCCAGTCAAGGGCACATGCCTTGGTTGTGGGCTCGATCCCCATTAGGGGGCCTGCAGGAGGCAGCCAATCAGTGATTCTCTCCCATCATTGATGTTTCTATCTCTCTCTCCCTCTCTGAAATCAATTTAAAAAATAAAAACAAAACATCCGAAAGAAAACAAGAAGTAATCTTCACCTTCCATTTAGCAGCCTCGGGGTATAAGTTAAGGGGATGACAGCACATTGACGGCTGGGCCTACCGTGTTCACTGCTGAGTAGTAGGCCCACGCCCGGCAGGCGGAGCCAGGGTTCTCCGGCCCCGCTCTCCCGGTGGCGTGCCACACGTAGGTGTAGCTGCTGTTTGGCTGAACAGCATTGTCTTCCTGAAACCACTTGGAAGACTCATCTTCATAAGTCTTTCCCTCCGACGACTTTTCATAGGAAAGCCCATGGGCATGAAGAGAATACGGTCTGGATGCTAAGTTTTTAAAACGAACCTAGAAAAAAACAAGGATCCATAACACACTTAAGGTTAACAAAATGCCAGTTGCCACGGAACTTATGTACATTATTTCCTCTAACTTTACTAGCATCCTGCGAGATAGGGCCCAAGCAGCTTCCCCCAGAAATGCCAAGCCATGCTTGCTCCTCGCCCAAAACAAAATTATTGACCTTATCAGCAGATGCAATGCTACTGATAGGAGCTCTGGATCTGAAGGTCATGAGGCTTGGCTTTTGTCACAGTAAGCTTTCTGCCTGCTGCTGAAGAGACTGCACATGTGAATTCAAGTTACCCTCTGGGGACAAAAGGTGTCGTACATCACACGTGAACGGATTAGAGAGAGGTGCCTGGGAGGAGCCATTCGGCTGAATGTTTAGAAAGGGTGGAGGGAATTAAAAAAAGTTTCCTAGGGGAGACAGAATAGTCCTTATAGAATAAGCAGGAGCTTAGCAGAGGGAGAAATAGAATCATAAGATTATTTTTTTCTCGAGGCTTGCCAAATACTTGGCAACTGTCTTGGAGAAGAAATGTCATTATTTATTAATTTTGGAAAATAAGTAAATCCACCCAGCCAGTGTGGCTCAGTGGTTGAGCATTGACCTATGAACCAGGATGCCATGGTTCGATTCCCAGTAGGGCACATGCCTGGGTTGTGTGCTCGGTCCCCCACTAGGGTGCGTGCTGAAGGCAGCCGATTCATGATTCTCTCATCATTGATGTTCCTCTCTCTCTCTCTCTCTCTCTCTCTCTCTCTCTCTCTCTCTCTCTCTCTCCCACTCTCTTCCTCTCTGAAATCAATAAAAAAATATTTTTAAAAAAGAAAATAACTAAATCACCCATAGCTCTCTCCTGCCACCATTGCCTTTACAACCCTATGGTACTGGTGGGAATGACTCACTTGGATAACGTCATCCACCTCAGCTCTAATAACAGGACCAAGAATGCCAAGATGCTCTTCAGACTCTCCCCGAGGGTCCCGTTGGGTGAAAGTGCTATCCAGGTACTTTCGGAAAACAACTTTCTTGTATATGGTGTCCTCTGGAAGCTCATCAGTGTCTTCGTTATCCATGTCACTGAAATGATAATGACAGTATTTGTTTACAAGAACAAATGAAAGACCATTCAAAGAATTTAGGAAATGGTCTCTGTTTCTGAATATAGCATCCAGCATAGAGAAGATATTGAGCACATAGTTGATGAGCAAATGAATGAAAATAGAAATGACTAAAGACATAACCAGTAGCTACCCAGCTGCCAGTTCAGATACCATTTCTTAGGTAAGTCCTCCCATGAGCCTTTAGGCTAGGTCAAATCTCTGTATAGCATTCCTCCATTTCTATAGTAGTACTATAGTGCATATAGTAAAGTCCTATAGCATTGTAGCATTTCTGTAGTATATACAGTAAAGTATGTATCATTTATTTGTGTGATTATCTGTTAGTATCTGACCTGCCACCAGAGCAGTGGTCGGCAAACTGCGGCTTGTGAGCCACATGCGGCTCTTTGGCCCCTTGAGTGTGGCTCTTCCACAAAATACCACATGCAGGTGCGCACATACAGTGCGATTGAAATTTCGTGGCGCATGCGCAAAAATCGGTTTTTGGCCTGGGCAAGTCGATTTTGAAGAAGTGGTGTTAGAAGAAGGTGGGGGTGTTGGTTGGTTAGGAGACGGGAAACGCGGCGCAGGTGAGCCAAGGGATACACAGCGCGGGGGGAGGAGCATGTGATTCATGCATGAGTTGAGTGAGCCAGTCAGTCAGCAGTCTCATTGTGCAGTGGTTAGTGCTAGCCGTGTCTGCAAATCACATGCGGGTGACAAAAGTACCTACTTGAAGCATAAAGTTACCTGTATTTTTCCAACCAGCTACAAATCCTACAGGTATGTTTGTTATCAATTTAAGAATTGTAATTCTTTTGTGTTGGTGACTTTATTATTATAAAACTAGAGGCCTGGTGCACAAAAATTTGTGCACTTGGGAGGGTCCCTCAGCCCGGCCTGTGTCCTCTCGTAGTCTGGAACCCCTCGGGGGATGACCACCTGCTGGCTTAGGCCCGCTCCCTGGGGGATTGGGCCTAAGCTGGCAGTCAGACATCCCTTTGGCAGCCCAGGAGCCCTTAGGGGATGTCCAGTTGCCAGTGGGGAGCAGACCTAAACTGCAGTCGGACATCCTTAGTGCTGCGGAGAAGGCGGGAGAGGCCCCCACCAGCACCACTGTACTGGCAGCCATCAGCCTGGCTTGTGGCTGAGCAGAGCTCCCCCTGTGGGAGCACACTGACCACCAGGGGGCAGCTCCTGCATTGAGCATCTGCCCCGTGGTGGTCAGTGTGTGTCATAGTGACCAGTCATTCCCAGTCGTTCTGCTGTTAGGGTCAATTTGCATATTACCTTTTTATTATATAAGAGTGCCTGGCCAGCCTGGGTGAGGGGCTGATGGCTGTTTAGGCTGGCCACAGCCCCTTCAGGGTGGGGGTCCCCCCTGGGGTGCCTGGCCAACCTGGGTGAGTGGCTGATGGCTGTTTTCAGGCTGGCCACAGCCCCTTCAGGGTGGGGGTTCCCCCTTGGGTGCCTGGCCAGCCTGGGTGAGGGGCTGAGGGCTGTTTTCAGGCTGGCCAAACCCCTTTCAGGGTGGGGGGTCCTTCTGGGGCTCCTGGCCAGCCTGGGTGAGGGGCTGATGGCTGTTTTCAGGCTGGCCACAACCCCCAGCTACCCAAACTCCCAGTGGAGGCTGGCTGGAAGCAGGTATCTGGGATTTATTTGTCTTCTATAATTGAAACTTTGTTGCCATGAGCGGAGGCCACAGCTGGCTCAGGGTAGGCGGGAAGCTTGGCTTCCTCCATCACCCAGGCAACCAAGCCTCCTGCTTGCTCCAGCTCCGTGGCTGCCAGCTGCCATCTTGGTTGGGTTAATTTGCATATAGTCGCTCTGATTGGCTGGTGGGCGTGAATTAGAGTGTAGCAAAGGTATGGTCAATTAGCATCTTTGTCATTTATTAGCGTAGATGAAACATCTTTTTAGGTTCCCTTTTTGAGATGGCTACAAAGAAGCTAAGAAAAACAGAAGATGAAAACCATGAATTTAAAGTTGAATGTACCTACCTATATAGTTTAAGTTTAAAAAATTTGGCTCTCAAAAGAAATTTCAGTCGCCATACTGTTGATATTTGGCTCTGTTGACTAATGAGTTTGCCGACCACTGCTCTAGAGGAAAAGCCCCATGAGGTAGGGATTGTGCCTAGTTAGCTCACGGCTTTATTCCCATTGCCTCACAGAGTACCTGGCACCAAGTTGCAGCAGGGGAACAAAGTTATGCTTAGCTAGTTTGCCCAGAATTATCTCCTTGGACTGTTGAAATTACTTTTCTGGCAGTAGTGGGAACATGAGAAGAGATGAAAACACTGGCCAAACCTTTGTGCGTATTTTGCGTAATCCCAGGATATTTCTTCCGCAGCAATGTAGTAATACTTTTTGTTCCCGTAGCTGCTGCGGAGGTAGGATGCTGCAATGCGGTCCGGATTTCTGGAGGATTTGGTGTCTATCCTAATATCGGTTTGGTAAGGGTCATCGTAGGTCACACAATCTATTTCAAAAGTGTCTTCTTCACTGCTCTGTTGTTTCTTCCTCGGTGTAATCTCAATGTACTCTCCATCTTCTCCACTGAAGCCAAACACAATGGGTGGATTAAATTCACTTGCTATCAAAGTGCTATTTAGTGAAGGAGATGGTTGCGGAGAAGGCATCTGACCAAAGTCTGAATAAGGAAAATTAGGATCAAATTCTGGAAGAGGCGAGGACGGACTGGATTCGGAAGTGTAGGCTGTTTGACCAAGGTCTGGAGGAGGTGATGTCTGCCTGAGATCAGGAGGAAGGCCTGTCTGAGTGATGTCTGGAGAGAGAGTTGCATGTCTGAAGTCTGGAGAGAGGGTCTCCTGGCTGAGGTCAGGGGAAAGGGTCATCTGGCCGAGGTCAGGGGAAAGGGTCATCTGGCCGATGTCAGGGGAAAGGGTCATCTGGCCAAGATCAGGGGAAAGGGTCGTCTGGCCGAGGTCAGGGGAAAGGGTCGTCTGGCCGATGTCAGGGGAAAGGGTCGTCTGGCCGAGGTGAGGGGAAAGGGTCGTCTGGCCAAGATCAGGGGAAAGGGTCATCTGGCCAAGGTCAGGGGAAAGGGTCATCTGGCCAAGGTCAGGGGAAAGGGTCGTCTGGCCGATGTCAGGGGAAAGGGTCGTCTGGCCGAGGTGAGGGGAAAGGGTCGTCTGGCCAAGATCAGGGGAAAGGGTCATCTGGCCAAGGTCAGGGGAAAGAGTCGTCTGGCCGATGTCAGGGGAAAGGGTCGTCTGGCCAAGATCAGGGGAAAGGGTCATCTGTCCAAGGTCAGGGGAAAGGGTCGTCTGGCTGATATCAGGGGAAAGGGTCGTCTGGCCAAGGTCAGGGGAAAGGGTCATCTGGCCAAGGTCAGGGGAAAGGGTCGTCTGGCCGAGGTCAGGGGAAAGGGTCGTCTGGCCGAGGTCAGGGGAAAGGGTCGTCTGACTAAGTTCTGGAGAGATGGCTGTCTGCCAGACTTCACGTTCTAAGGAAGGGGACACTTGTCCAGTGTTGGTAGGGAAGGACTGGGTTCCTCCATCATAGTCAGGCATCTGGCCAGACTCTGGAGAAGCTTCTTGACTGGGGCCTGGAGGGAACTGTGTTTGATCAGAGTCTTGACTCGGGAACGTTTGGTAGAACTGTTCAGGGGGCATTGTCTGATACATGTCTGGCGAGAAGCTTGTCTGACCAGTGCTGTCTGGGAGACTGAGATTATGGTTGGGAAGTGAGGCTGCCAGGCTGAGATTCCCACGGGGCAATGTCTGGCCGAGGTCGGTGGGAAGAGAAGTCTCCTTGGCCTTGTGAAGGGCGTCTGGGAGGATGAGGTTGCCCTCTCCTCTGGGAAAGTTCCTTGGAGAGAGAGGAGCGTGGTGTGTAGGCTTCCTTTTTCGTGTCCGAATGAGAAAAGTGCTGTTCTTCACTCTACTGCTTCCTCCAGGTCTTGTTTGTAGAAATTTATGTCTAATTCCAGGAAACTTTGGGTGGCCACCTTGCTCTCCATGCTTGTTGGTAAAAGGGATGCGTTCTCCCCATGTCCTTGAGGCATTCTGGGGACTGTTCTGCAGCTTATTAACCGCCATGTCTTCATCAGCCTCGGGGATTATTTCATAGCTACCTTTTTCAGAAACCAAATGCCATTTCCCATTCAAATTCTTAAAGAGAGTCTTGTGTTTTAAGAGATCACTGGGCTTCCAGGGCCCCATGATGGAAGAAGAGTTGCCTTGGCTTAAATGTCTCCCTGTTTTATGTCCTAGAAATTTCATCCGGGAGAACCTGTGCCTTGCCTCCAATCCCTTATGTTGAGCATGCCCTTGGCTTCTGAATCCTTCTGCACCGCGTGGTAGGAGGCTTGTCCCTGTGACCTTTGGCTGTAGAGGATCCTCTGTAGGGACTTCAGAATAAGGGCTGGGATGCTCTGCCATGAAAGGGCCGAGAACTGAGCTCTTTTCGAAGCTGGGCCCCACCTGAGGACCAGCTGTGGTGGTTTCAGGGTGAGGAAGGGTTTTGTTAGGTTCTGCAACTTTATTGTCAATGAGCCCGCTGTCACTTGGGGAAGAAGAATTAGAATCAACGGCTGTATCAGTACCTGGAGGGATGAATTCAGAGCTGTTCTCCAGGGCGAGGGCAGTAAGATTGAACTCACCTTCCTCCTGATTCAGTGATGAATTTCTGAATGACCTAAGTCCTAATAACGAAGCCAAATCAGTCTGGTAATCATCTTCAGTCTCACCTCCTTCACCCTGGTTTTCCGAAAACTCACGCATTTTCCGTGTAGTCATGGATGTAGATGGTGGAGGTTTGTATATTACATAATCATTTTCTTCATTACTTTCATCATTCCGGTTACACTTAACATCCCTGAATTTCAGCCGTAGGTTTTTGCTTCTTGGGTTAGAATTCATGGTAGTTAATATCCAAGTTCCTAGAGAAGAGAGACAGACAGCATAGAGAGCTTTAAGTCCAGAAAAAGACAGAAAATCCCTAGCATTTGTTGTAGCAGATAATTCCCAACAAACTTTGGCCAGGGATACTCCAGTGTGGCCTGTGGACCTCTGCTTCCCTGTGAACTGCTGGTTACGGGTCCACAGTGCCACCAGAAGGAAAATGGAGAGCCAAGTACTTAGGACACTTCTGAGCAATTTGACATTGCTGTGACATCCAAGCATGTGATCAATGCATTTACCTCATTTAACAGAATATAGACCAAAGGTATTGGTCAGCAGAGCGCAGGGAGGAAAAAATCATCTTAGCTCAGATAGTTTGAGGGTCACTATTTCAGAATATATTTTAAAAGGGATGGATTGAGAATAAAACAAATTTTAATCATCTCTGTCTTGTTAGCTGCACATCTTGTTTGAGGATTGTAGTGGGGGGAGGATGGTGATACCTACTCCCAGAAATGAGAGACATTTAGGTATTTCCAATTGACCAATAATTCATGTGGGTCCAGGGCAAGTTTGAATCTCTCTGAAATGGTGTGACTTGCCGGCACACTGAAGATTTCCTGGGAAGTGTCCAATGGTTACCACTTGCTGAGTGTCTACTGAGTGCTGGACACTTGGCACATATTATAATTAATGACCAAAGCAGCTCTGTTGTTGTTGTTGGTGTGTGTGTGTGTGTGTGTGTGTGTGTGTGTGTGTGTGTGTTTTCATATGAATAAACTGAGCCTCAGTGAGGTCAGGTCAGCTGCCCAAGGTTATACAGGTGTTGCGTGGCCGGGCAGAATTTGAACCCAGAGCTGATGAACTCCAAAGCCCACGTGCTTTCCAGGGCTGTGGCGTGTCTGAGGCCAGCTTCACAGGCACTATACCTGGTGATCACTAACCCTAGCACAGGTGGCTGTCTTACAAAACTGGAAAGGGCATTTTGATAAAAGAAATGTCTTTTTGAGACTGAATGGTCATGCTTCCTCCTCAAAGTCATGCCATATCTTCTGTGGATGTGTGTCTTTACTTCTCACTTACAGAAAAGGATGAACGGAACCCACATTAAAGGGCTGAACCCACTGAGGAAACACTGAATTAATTCCCCAAACGGAAATCATGACAAGTATCAAAAGGGAAGCCTGCAAGGGATCCGAGAGCTGAGCCCAGGACCTGAGCCTGGAGAGCTGCGACAGACCGAGGGACCAGGAGTCCCTGCCCCGCGCCAGGCTCTCACCCACATTATCCATCGTGACGGTCACCGATTCCCCGTGCATGGGGAAGAGCGTCAAGGTGTCCTCATGCCTCTTCCCGTAGATGAAGGAGTGCCCAGTGAAGTGGATGGTCAGAAAGTCATCCTGGGTCCCCACGCTGCAGAAGTGCCACTGGATGGTGTCGTCAAAGCAGAACCCGAGTGTGGAGATGCTGTCGGGCACGTAGCCATTGATGGCTGAAAGAGTCGGATGGGTTAGAATGCCAGGCCTATGCCAGCACAAGGGCACGTGCCTAACACCTAAAACGCATGCCCCAACGTTAATTTGGTTGCATCAGAGCAGTGATTACCTGAGATCAGCTTTACCAGGTCTAACATGTGACTACAAGGTCAAACCCAGACTTCCCACAGCAGTGGCTCTGAACTTAAAACTGCAGCACATGGCTCAGGGAGTACCTCCTCTTCTGAGCGTCTTAGTACACACTTCAAACCCCTCCCACAGAATGGCTTTGCAAAACTCCTGGCTAACCTTTTTAGTGGATTTGAAAAATCTAGTTTTGAATTACTTATTTGGTTTCTGCCCTGGCCATAGAGTATCACCTTGCACCCAGAATGTCTATTTTGCACCCCAGATACCACAGACCAAGGCCTGTAGCCCCTTCCTTTACCACCCCCATCCCTCACCTGTTCTTCTCTGCCCAGAGCACACGCACAGGTTTACACACACACACACACACACACACACACACACACACACACACGGAGCAAGAGAAGACGTATAAGGATAACAAGCCTTTGACCTCTCCCTGTAAAAAGGTCACCCTTTATATAATTTCATCACCAAATCCCCGGATGAAGGTGAAGCTGAGATGTGAGTCGCTTCTCATCCATGTCTGCCTCTAGGCACAGCACGCTTCAACCACACGGGTGAGAAGTGATGGACAGATAGGGGAGTGTGCTCCGACTTACTGCTCATGATGTTTGACTCATAAAACTTAGGGTCGTCACGCTTCACCTCCTCAGGATTCTCACAAAACTTGTTGATGTTGTCCTCAATGTACCAGCTCTTGTTCTCATCAAACACAGCAAACACAGCCTGCTGCTCGATGTCTGCTGCCCTCTGTGGGGGGGGGGGGGGGGGGAACGCTCTGTTCTAACATCCCAGCCAGCGACCCACAGCTTCAGACACCCCAGGGCGCAGTCCTCGGGGTCACTGAAGCCACGCATTTAGGCCTTGGTGAGAGCCCCTTATGTGCAAAGCCCTCGTTAGAGCCAAAGGTATTACGCAAAAGCAAACAGAGCAGATCAGGAAATTCAGAGACTAAAATATCCTAATAGAAAAATTCCATTTGTCATGGCAACTATAATTCTGTTTATCTCTGTGACGGAACACCTTTCAACCGGACTGTTCGACCGACAGGGTGTGCTACGAACAATTGCAAAGGATAAAGCAGGAGGCTGCAATAGGAAAGCTCCATACCTCTCCCTACGCATTTCCTTTCCAAGTTCAATAAATTAGGGTCTTTCTTATGTTCGTTTCAGATTTTCCGAGGCATATATTTATTTTGTATGCCTTGAATGAGACCCTTTTTAAAAAAATTATAGCTTTGCCCAATTGTGAATTTAATGGAGCTTAATAAGATGAGACTCTTCTACAGTAAAGATAAAGTCAGAAGATCCATGTCTTTGTCTAATTCAGTCTCACTAGAGACGGACCATTGTCAAGGTGCAGTCTCACCAGAAGCTCTGTCTCCTGCGTATCTGTCTTATCTCTTTCTAGTGCAGATCTCTACAGGTAACAAGGATCGGTACAGAGCCTTACACTCTTGCCAGGTGCTACCTCCCTGAGCCCCCAAACAACCTGTAATTTTTAGGATGGGTATTACCAATCTCATGTAAGGAAGAAACCAAGAGAGGCTAAGAGACTTGCTCAGCACACAGACAATAACAACAGACATGGACTTTCAAACTAGAACGAAGTATGGCTTCACACTGTAGACTTGCCTTCTGCAGTGAGAGTCTGGGTGAAAATTGGCAAGACAAAAAGTTCCCAAAGGAGTCAATGTCATCTCAGTCACACCCAAGAGGACTACTTAGTTTAATGTTTTCTGTTCCAGAAAAGTTCCGTTATTTAGCAGGGAGACCTAGTCTGTTCCAGCCAGAAGAAATTCCTGGAATTTCTGAATGGTTACGTCAAGGACAAAATACCTGTATGCCTCTTTTGTCCAGGGATCTGCTCTTACAAATCAGAAGTAGCCCTATGAGCCCAGAGGCAATGTCCCTTGTGACGTCCACATCACTGTAGTACGGTCTTGTTAAGCACTGGGCGTCATTGTCTGTGGGCTCATCAGACTCCAGGATATTCCATTTATAAGTGTAGGTTTCGCCTGGTTGAACTGCTCTGACCATGGTGTTACTGCCTGAAAGAAAATATAGTCAGAATTATTTTCATTTTCAAAATTATTTTATGAGAATGAATGAATGATACAATGGAGCTTTCATTGCAAGCAATTAATATTGGGAAAGGAATATTTTTTTTAATATTAAGATCCACTTATTGGAACCCTTGATAGCATGTACTCATCAGATCTTGCTCCCCTAGAGGCCTCTATGGCACTAATAAAGGAGGCTGTAGGGCAAGCATGTCAAACTCAAAGGCTAACATGGGCCAAATAAACAAGGTTTAAGTATATGTGGGCTGCGAAAAAAAACAAAAGCTTCAATTTTCAGAGAAATTATAGTAAGTTTATTTTGATAGATATATGCTGAAATAAATGAGTCCTCATTAACATAAAATAATAGAACATTTTAATAAAAATTAATATTTTTCTTGTCCATTAACTTACCAGACACTGAATAACTGCACAAATTAATAAGCGTGACACTAATAAACCTGTTTTTCTTGTTCTCTGAAAGCGAAATATTTCCTGTTGCGCACACCAAACAAGTCAGTACAAGACTAATGACGTGGCAATCGGCTGCTAAAATATTCGCTGCTAGTATTAGTGGAGAGAAATGGTGCGCCTGCGCGTAAGGGAAATGAATGCAACATGATTATAGTAGCCAGTAATTAGAGAACGTTGTAGTTTGTTATTAATAATTATGTATAACAGGATATTGTAAAAATTAAGTTACAAAATTTTTATTAAAATGTTTCTTTCATACTGTTATATTGGCTGGCTGCAAAAATATTCCTTATGGGCTGCAGGCAGCAGGCCGCGAGTTTGACATGCTTGCTGTGGGGTAAGTAACCCCCTGAAATGAGCAGGGTTTCCTTGTGGCTTTCAGGTCCCTGCCCATGTATAGACACTACCTGACTGCACAAGGTTTACTACTGAGCAAGAGGGACAGTAGGGAAATATGGTAGCTTCTCAGAGGTCAATAGCTTCATTCAGCAGAAGTGAAAGATGCAAACCTGAGGTGGAGGAAGAGTTGACTGTGTCTTCAAAAGGAGAGAAGGTCACTCCATGAGGGTAGATGCTGTAGGCGCGGCTGGCCATATTTTTGAACGTGATCTACAAAGTTAACTCAGATTCATTATTCGGGACTTCAGGTTGATTGCGAGCATTAATATAGGATGTTAACTTCGCACGCTCACTTGTTGGACGGTGTGCATGCATGCAATCTTGTTCTGTTTATCTGAGCAGCAATCTCTCCATCACCCGGCAGAAGCATTTGAGAGAGTTTCGCCTCACAGAGTAGTCTGACCTTAGAAGTGACATTTTCCTTACAGTCCGCCACCCCCTCCGAGCTGGTCCCCATCTCCTTCCCTTCTCCTTTCAGCTCAGACCCCATCTGTTTTCATTTTCTGCTCCTCCTCTTCTCTACACCATGACCTCCTCCTCCCACTGGCCAGGTCTCCCAGAACCTCTGTCCTTGAAGCCGTGTCCTGAGGTCATGGCTAAGAGCCGGATCCTCAATTTCCAATGAGGTGTATTTATACTCCCTAACAGTGGTCGGCAAACTGCGGCTCGGGAGCCACATGCGGCTCTTTGGCCCCTTGAGTGTGGCTCTTCCACAACATACCGACTTCTGCGCATGGGCCACAAAGTTTCAATGTACATGCGCGCCTGCATGTGGTATTTTGTGGAAGAGCCACACTCAAGGGGCCAAAGAGCCGCATGTGGCTCACGAGCTGCCATTTGCCGACCACTACCCTAAGAGTACCTTGGAGGGATCAGAGATGGGGGAAGGGAAACAGAGAGCAGCTGCTTCTGGTCCTTCGGTTATTTTCAAATGAGCAGAATTGGCCTTGTCTGCAGACGCCCTCCTAGCTCCGCCCCTGCAGCGGTGAAGTATGGTCTCGGTAAGCACTGGGCGTCATTTTAGGAGCATTACCCACACAGGAGTCCTGGTGAGACTCCTTAATCTTCCAAAGAGAACCTTGATTGTATCTTTGGTTGATTGCCAAAGCATTTGGGTCATATCTACATCTCCATCTGTAGATAATCTGCATTCTAGAATCTTGTCAAAGATTGCAACCTTCAATTCTCTGCTTCCTGTGCTTATAAAAAGCTTGATGTCCCTAACCAGTTTGGCTCAGTGGATAGAGCGTAGGCCTGCAGACTGAAGGGTCCCAGGGTCCATTCCAGTCAAGGGCATGTACCTTGGTTGCAGGCACATCCCCAGTAAGGGGCGTGCAGGAGGCAGCTGATCGATGTTTCTCTCTCATAGATGTTTCTAACTCTCTATCCCTCTCCCTTCCTCTCTGTAAAAAATCAATAAAATGTATTTTTTTTAAAAATAAAAAGCTTGATGAACCCGGCAGGCATGGCATAGCTCATTGGTTAAGCATAGACCTCTGAGCCAGGAGGTCATGGTTCAATTCTGGTCAGGGTACATGCCTGGGTTGTGGGCTCGATCCCCAACATGGGGCGTGCTGGAGGCAGCCAATCACTGATTCTCTCTCTCATTATTGATGTTTCTACCTCTCTCTCCTCCTTCCTCTCTGAAATCAATAAAAATATATTTTTTAAAAAGCTTGATGATGTGACATAGCATTAAAGGAAAACTATTTGAACAACACTCTGTCCTCATGATAAATATGTAAGTCTTTGCATGTGTCTTCATCAGAGGCCAGACTTCAGAGAACTACATACCAAGACCACAGTGAAGGATTTTTTTTCTCAATGGTATTTACTGTGATATTTTTAGCTATAACGAGAAACACTTTTATAAGACTCTACAATATTTTTATTTATTGTACCAATTGTAGGGGTTTTATCAAGGAATCTATCCACTGCAGCAATAGCACCCTCTCTTCAAGGATCCATGTGAGAAATTCTTCTCTGGTCGCTGTGCTTCTTTTGTGACTACTGTGACTCTGGCCCTAACAGATTTCCCTTTTTACTTTGGCTGCTAGAAGGCTCAGGACAAAATTTTCAAACAACCTTATAAGATCATATGGTAAGTACTTGATTATACTTACCTTATCCTTGGTTTTCTTTTCTTTGTTCCCAATATTATTCACCCCAACTACATTGACTATTGTATTCCTTTATAATTTGATAAACTATCTCAGATTCTTTGTATTATGGAGTAAGCTATAAATAAGTGCAAATACTAAATAAAAACGAAAAGTTGCATTTGAATTAAAAATTACATGGACACCTTTTAAAAAAAATAAACAGCCAGTACTTATAATGTCTTTTGTTACTTAATTTCTTTTGCACGGGCCTACCTTTCTGCTACTTACTTTGAGTGTGTCTCTGACCTGGGCTCTGATAATAGGGCCCAAGATCCCGTCTTCATTGTTTCTGGACTCCTCCAGGCGTTTGGTGAAGGTCCCATCTTGGTACTGTTTGTACACAACCTTCTTATAATGTTTTCCAATTTGGTTGGAGAAATTATCCAAGTGCAGAGATCTGTATTTTCTTAAAGTGAAATGAAATATTAAAAAATGAACCATTTTCTCAAGTAGAGACCCCAGTAGGGTGGGGAAACCCTTGTGTTTAGAAGTTCTGCTCTTGGATTAGCTAAAAAAAAACAAACAAAAACAATACCAACTCTTAATATGATTTGCAAAGTCCTGATATCTTCCATCTAGTTGGAAAGCTGGAATCCTCTGATTTGTCTGATAAAGTCATAATCATGGTTAGAAGCAGCTTTTTAGCTCTTCCTGTCCCTTTGGTTACTAGAGAAGACCTTAGATGTCTCTGGGGAAAGGTCTATCTGGATGAAAGGACAGGATATGCTATAATTTTTCTCAAGTCTCTCCTATCACTTAATTTATGGTACCTTGGTTGGCTTTTCAGGTATTTCTCAATCTCTAAAAGTACTTTCTCACTCCAGGAAGTTTTTATTACCTTTGTTAGATATGGCTCTGTGCTGCTGGTCTATCCTGTCTACCACCCACTCAGTCTAGGTGCCAAATGAAAAGCCACCACCGTCACCCAGCTTCTGCAGTTCTGTGATAAATGATTAGGAAGCAGCAACAAGAACCACTTCACACCTTGGTCCTCTTTATTACCTTAAAACAGTACCTTCATAAAAGCAGAAGCTCCGTGAGAGAATTTATCCATTTCATCCATTTATTTTGCATAATAAACAGCACTGACTGTTGCCAGAGAGTCCTGGATCCCTATCTCAGTTCTGTCAGTTATTATATAATCTTGATCAATTCCTTTTTTGATTTTTTAATAGCAAATACATTCAAACGATTTTGATTAGTGAAAACTCTCACTCACATACTATATCCTCTCAACCCCACCTCTCTACCTCTCTTTCTGCATTTTCTAAGTATTGGTTTATATTAATGTGTACAATTCCAGATAATCTGTATGCATATCCCTTCCAAGATTTGGAAAGTTTTCAACCATTATTTTTAAAGAAGCTTTCTGCCCCTTTCTCTTTTTTTCCCTTTAGACTCTTACAGTGCACATGTTAGCTCTTTTGATGGTTTCCATAATTCCTGTAAGCTTTCCTTATCCTTTTTCTTTCATTTTTCTTCTTGTTCCTGTAAGTGAATAATTCCAAATTACCCGTCTCTGAGTTTGCTGAATCTTTCTTTTGCATAATTGATTCTGGTATTAAATACCTCTATTGATTTTTTTCAGTTCTGTTATTGTATTTTTCAGTTCCAAGATTTCTGTTTGGTTATTCTTATGGTTTATTAGACTTCTCATTCTGTTCATGCATTATTTTCCTGATTTTGTTTAGTTGCCTATCTGTGTTCTCTTGCACTGCACTGAGGTTCTCGAAGATGAGTATTTTACATTATTTTCCAGGCACTTCATAGATCTCCAATTCTTTGAGGTTGCTTCCTGAAGCTGTATTAGTTTCCTTTAGTGGTGTCATAGTTGCCCGATTCTTTGTGGTTTGTGTCGCCTTGGGCTGGTGTCTGTGCATTTGAAGAAGCAGACACCCTCTTCCAGCCTTTACAGACTGAATTCGGCAGGCAAAGACCTTCTCCCAACAGGTCTCCTGACTGATGGGATTGCTTTTAGGATCACAATCAAGTGAGGTTGGATCAGGTCACATGGCTGCTGGCGGGCAAGACTTTACCAAGAGCTCAGACGGGTATGGGTCCTGTCTTGTCCGTGGAAGATGGGGCTGCCTCCGAGACCTTAGTCAGTAGAGCTGGTGCTGGAATAATGGCCCATTTTAAGGTCCTCAGTGGAGTTTTCAAATGGTAGGCCTGTTACCGGGTGTGTAGGTGGGTATGGCTCCCATCTGGTCCTTGGGAGGACTCACATCACGTCCCTGGGTAGGTCCCTGATGGGCAGGACCGCTTCTGGACTGCAGGTGGGAGGGCTGGAGCTGGGCTACAGGGTCACTTCAAGATCTGCACTGGGACCAAGGTCTGCAGGCCAGCCTCCAGGGTCATGGACAGGGCTGGCTCCTCCCGAGTCGCTTGTCAAACAATGTTGTAGCAGGGGCTGTCGCTGAGTCCATAAGAGGATGAGGCTGCTTCTAGGCTTGTAACCTGGACCTCAATGAGCAAAACTACCACCTGAGCATGGACTCGCCTTGTAAAACAGCCCTCTGTGGTCCTGGCTTTCCTTGGGATTTTGTAAGTTTCTACCTGGATTACACAGCTCTCACAAAGGCACTTTTGTTTGTGGATGGCTGACAACTATTGTTGCCGTCAGGGAGAGAGGTGGGGGACCTCCTATTCTGCCATCTTGCTCCCTTGACTTTTTAATTTAACAATGGAGAACTTTTTATATTAGTACATAAAGCATGCTTGCATCCTTTTAAAATAGATGCATGGTACTCTATGTATGGCTATCCCATAATTTATTAAACCAATTTCCTATTGATGGAAATTTTGGGTTGTTTCCAATCTTTTGCTATTACTAACAGGGTAGAGTGACTATCCTGTATGTACAACATTTTTCCTGTGAACAGTATAGCTCTATAGTAAATTCCCAGGGTGAGACTGCTGGGCCAAAAGGTATAGGCATTTATAATTTTGACACAAATGCCAGATTATCCTCTAGATGGCTCTTCCAGTTACTCGCTCACCAGCAAAATGACAGTGCCTGTTTCCCACAGTGTTGCCAAGAGATTATGCTACCTGGACTGTGAGTCCGATGGATGAAAATAGTATTTCAGAGAAGTTTAATTTGCATTTCTCTCATTGTGAGTGAGCCTGAATATTTTTTTCAGGTGTTTCAGAGCTATTTGAATTTCCAGATTTCTTAATATCTCTGACCTATTTCCTAATGTAATCTAATAAAAGAGAAACATGCAAATTGACTGCACCTCTGCTACGCCCCAAGCCATGCCCACCAGTCAATCAGAGTGACTATATGCAAATTACCCCAACCAAGATGGCGGCCAGCAACCACAGAGCTGGAGCAAGCAGGAGGCTTGGTTGCCCCGGTGATGGAGGAAGCCAAGCTTCCCTCCTGCCCTGGCCGGCTGTGGAATTCCACTCAAGACAACAAAGTTTCAATTATAGAAGATAAATAAATCCCAGATACCTGCTTCCAGCCAGCCTCCACTGGGAGCTTGGGTAGCTGGGGGCCGTAGCCAGCCTGCAAACAGCCATCAGTCCCTCACCCAGGCTGGCCAGGCACCCCAGAAGGACCCCCCACCCTGAAAGGGGTTTGGCCAGCCTGAAAATAGCCCTCAGCCCCTCACCCAGGCTTGCCAGGCACCCCAAGGGGGACCCCCACCCTGAAGGGGGTGTGGCCAGTCTGAAAATGGCCCTCAGCCCCTCAACCAGGCTGGCCAGGCACCCCAGCGGGACCTCCACCCTGATCCGGGACACCCTTCAGGGCAAACCAGCTGACCCCCACCCATGCACCAGGCCTCTATCCTATATAATAAAAGGGTAATATGCAAACTGACCCTAACAGCAGAACAACTGGGAATGACTGGTCACTATGACACACACTGACCACCACGGGGCAGATGCTCAATGTAGGAGCTGCCCCCTGGTGGTCAGTGCTCTCCCACAGGGGGAGCTCTGCTCAACCACAAGCCAGGCTGACAGCTGCCAGTACAGCGGTGGTGGCAGGAGCCTCTCCCGCCTCCTCAGCAGCGCTAAGGATGTCTGACTGCAGCTTAGGCCTGCTCCCCACTGGCAAGTGGACATCCCCCAAGGGCACCCGGGCTGCCAGGGGGATGTCTAACTGCCAGCTTAGGCCCAATCCCCTGGGGAGCGGGCCTAAGCCAGCAGGTGGTCATCCCTTGAGGGGTCTCAGACTGCAAGAGGGCACAGGCTGGGCTGAGGGACGCCCCCCCCAAGTGCACAAATTTTTGTGCACCGGGCCTCTAGTCTTCTTAATAAATAAGAGCTGTCTCTCACTTCTAGAGATAAAGTGAAGCTCTTAGATAGGATTTAACACAGTGCTTGGCAATAGCAAACATTTGACAAGTGGTAGCTGCTATTATTATTATTATTATTATTATTATTATTATTTCCTTTAGTGAGTTTGGGGTAATTCCATGTTGATTTTGAACAAGACCTGAACGGAATCCAAAACATGTAATCCCTTGACCCGCGAACCCAGGACCCCATGGAACATGCCTGAACCTTTGCACAGTGGTCAGAACCCCCCACTCACTTGTTCATGTTCATTGGAATGAAGGGTGCATAGTCCCAGATGACTTCCTCTGCAGCGATGAAGTATTCCCACCTCTTCATGTGCCGCCGCTGCTCCGGCGTCAGCCACTTAGTACTCCGTGTCTTCTTGGCACAGTTCTCAATGTTGATACGAGCCTGCATCCCAGCTGAATTAGTAAATACAGACAGTGAAAGAATGGGGGAGAAGGAACTAAAGCTGATCAAACTGTAACTTTTTAATGGTGGAAGGGTTAACTGATGATGGTGAAAGCAAGGGAGAGAGGGGACGGGCTGGGAGGGAAATCTGGGAAGATTGCCTTTGCTTCTTCCAGAGCAGGAACATCTGTGGCTTCCAGACCCTGAAGACCCTATGACTTAGGTCTTGTTGACTTCTCCTTTTTCCTGTCATCTGCCCCTTTATTTGTAAAATCAAAAGAATACAGTAATACTGTATGAAATTGTTAAAAATTAAGTAAATTAATACAAAAGCAATTAACCTCAACAATGTTAGTTTTGTTGTTTTATGATCACTTGGGTGACAATTTCATTAGTTCAAATATAATTTTGACTGCTCAGTGCAAAAATATACCACAGTACCCGAGCCCTGGCCGGCATGGCTCAGTTGGTTGGGCATTGTCCTGTGCACTGAAAGGGTCGATTTCTGGTCAGGGCACATGCCCAGGTTGCGGGTTCAATCCCTGGTTGGGAGTGTGCAGGAGGCAGCTGATCAATGTTTCCCTCTCACATCGATGTTTTTCTCTCTCCTTTTCCCTTATTCTCTCTCTAAAAGCAATAAAATAAATCTTTTTTTATAAAATGAAATGGTCCTAATCGCCTTTCTTATGTGTTTTGCTTGTACATATTATTTTGGTAACAAAATAATTTCCTATACTAATATCATTTGCTTATAATTTAGTCTCTATTTATAGGAAACCTCCTCCCAATAGTTTCAAAGCAACTATGTGTAATAGAACAATGAGTATTTTGTTTACATGGAACCACATAACAACCTGGGCTGACCTTCCCCCACCAGAGTTCACTGATGTTCTTTCAAGCTCATTCCTCAGCTGCTTAGGTTTTAGGTTTGAGCCATTCAGTGTACAGTCATTGGGTTCCTCTTTGTGCTCATTTTGTTCTAGAACACAGTCTTTTCATGTTAAAACTTCTACACTTTCTCTAACCTGGCACTTCTATACATTTGCACGTTTGCCTTGTCCTGGCAGCCAGATCTTTCTTTTAGCTACATGCTAAATACCACAAGAAAGAACATCTCTATGTGCATTTCTCTCCTCCTCCCTTTTCCTTTCAAGGAAGTAGAGACCTCTTCAGTTTTTGCTTCATTTAAAAAAGTCTTTGTCGATTCCTCCCCTTCCTTCATCCCCAAGCAAGGCTGTGAATCTAAGAGTGGAGAATGTAAGTTCTCTTCTGAGGGACCACGGCAGGTATGTCTGGAGTGTGGGTGGCTTAAGAAGGCAAAGGATAAGGAGGGAGTTAGCGCCTGGGAAGAAGGATCCTACATTCATAAGACTGTTGGGAGCGTGTCTTGCCTTGAAAGTGCTTGGGGATGAGAGAAGAGATGATCCACTTCCCCTCTGGGCCCATCGTCATGTTAGCAGTCGTGGACGTAGCACTGACGAGGGTCACGGCTGAGACCTTGCGATGGTTCTGCTCCAGGACCTGGCCATTGAAGTGAATGGAGAACAGTTCTGGTCCAGAGCTCATGCCGATCAGATGCCAGCTGATGTGGTCCTGGGCACAAACGGTGATATCTGCAAGAGGAGGAGAGATGGGGGCGGGGCAAAGCCAGGCAGTCAGCACTCTGTGGTAAGAACTTCTTCACCCCAAATGGATGAGTACCTGCTATTGTGCAAGGTTCTGAGGAATAGACACTCAGCTGTAGTGCCTGCCCTGGAAATGCAGACATCTGAGGGATGGGCCAGCGAGCAGCTGCCACTCATTGTGGTGAGGGATACTACAGAAGTGAGAGCAGAGCCGTGAGAGGGGGCATTAGTTCACAGACAGGGATTGCTAAGGGATTAGGCCAAGGAGGGAGCCAGGTAGGTGACCACCATCCTGGGTTACTGGGACCGAGGGGTTTCCCTGGATGCAGGACTTTCACTGTTGGAACCAGGACAGTCCTGGGCAAGTCAGGCAGCTGGTCGCCTAGAGCCAATCTGGGCTCAGCTGGAGGGAGTCGCCAGTCTCCAGGAGGGCCGCGTTCAGAGCCTAATGTCTCAGCAGGATAGAGAGAGGCGCAAGCTCTGCCTGAGGACGAGTGTGAAGGTGGTTAAGGATTGCTGATTGCGCCTGTGCCCCTTGCTGATCGCTTTAATGAGACAGCAATGAATTACTCTGTGGGTCACAGGCTCTCCTTAAAACGCAGAGGACAAGTCTTCATGTGCTGGGCCCCTGGGAGCACTTCATGGGCGGAGTAATGGGAACTGAGCGCAGAGGCTGAGTTCTGCTCCTTCTTTGCCCCCACAGCGACTGGGAAAATGCTCCTTTGCTGCGTGGGAGATTCCAACCCTGGCTTCCCTCCTTGACCCGGCTTTTAAGTTTCAGATCCATGGTCACTAGATACAAGCAGTCACACCTCACTGCAGCAAGTGCTACCATAGAGGTAAGGTCGTGGGGCTGAGGATCAGTCTCTTACCCACAGAGGGCTGAGGGCTTGTCTTTTTTGGGGGGACCACTACAACAAGACAGGGATTCAGACATTATGAAGAGAACAAGAAGCTAGAACCTCAGAATGAAGCTGAAAGGTAGGCTTTGGTGGAGGCATTTAGCACCCCAAAGAGATGCTCATATCGACTGGAGCACTCAGTACATCTGTATTAGCACTTACCACCGCTATCCAGTCTCCATGCTTCGTGAGGCTGTTTACAAGCATTAACGTCTCTGTTTCTCCTCACGCCATTTCCCTTCCCTGCCCCCCTTAACCCCAACTGGTCTGTCTTTTTCAACTACAAATTCAACTACTCCATGCCCTGATCAAGTTATTACTTTTATTTTTGTGCCTATGGCTTGCTTCAGGGGGCTTCTGCATATTTAATAGATGATTCACTCGGCCAGGACACAGATACAGCTTCTCCTTGGAACACACCCCTCGAAGGCCCATAGTACTGGACATGCAGTTTTAAATGTAAAAAAAACAAAACAAATTCTTAACTACTGTCTATCCCAGGAGAGATGTTTAATCCACTTTTTGTAAGTTAGCTCATCTCAACAACTAACGGCCAAGGGCCACACTAAGGTAGCCAAATGAGCAAGGAGCCTCAGGTAACTACGTTTTGGGCGCTGAATCAAAGCCGAGAGTCATCGGGGTGTGTTTGTAGTAGCCCAGGCAGAGACGCAGTGAAATGAAATAGAAAACAATTGAAAGCAATGCCCAGACCTCAACTCCTGACAGGTTTGGTTAGTGGTAGGTGAAGCCATTTGTGATTTTTCAGATATAGAGAAGGACCCGTGAGAAATTTAATAAAGCAACATTTTCATTTTTCTGCTTTCTCCCCAGGATCTTTGGTTCTACGCATTTCTATCAGATAGAAGTAAAAGTGGTGCAGGTGGGAGTCAGTCCTTTTCTCTTAGCAGTTGCTATGATGGAAAGAGAAAAGGTCTTAAATGCCTTTGAATAGTTCTCATCTATCACCGTTTGAAGTGCTAGAAGTATTTCCGTAGGTTGGTATTTCTCCGAGTCTCCTGCTCATCTTCACCGTATTTTTATAGACTTTTCCCTGCTAACCCTTTCTGCCAGGGCTTGACCTTGAACAGCTGTCCTAAGGCTTCCTCTGTGGCTGAAAGCAGGGTCATGTGCAGCAGGGACCACAGAACCCACTGAAGGAAACGGAGCTGATATCCTGGAGGCCTTCCTGGAAGTGCAGGCCCAGGTGAAACCTGCTCAGAGCTTTCCATCCAATACTGCTGCACACCCCTTCCCTTAGTAGCTTCCAGTTTGCCTGTTGTACTTGCTGGTTTAAAAAACATGACAAAATCTCAACCAAGCTGGTTTGACTCAGTGGATAGAGTGTCAGCTTTTGGAGTGAAAAGTCCTGGGTTCGATTCTGGTTAAGGGCACATGCCCAGGTTGTGGACTCAATCCCCAGTAGGGGGCGTGCAGGAGGCAGCCGATCAATGATTCTCTCTCACCATTGATGTTTCTATCTCTCTCGCCCTCTCCCTTCCTCTCTGAAATCAATAAAAATATTTTTTAAAAAGATGATAAAACCTTGAAGACCCTGAGCTAGATCACCTTACCTTCCTGATTAAGAGTTGAAAGTAGTGGGTACCATCACCTTTCTTAGTGCTGGAGGACAGCCGCAGGCCTAAGGCACTAACGAGTCTAGTGTTGTTGGGAACGTGCGTTACCTGGCATCGTCCCGTTCACATAGCCGTTGACCGTGTACATGACGGATGATGACCGGCTCCAGCTCTTGCTTTCATCAAACACAGCAAACATGAGCACCTGCTGCCTGTCAAACATCTTCTGACTCCCATCCTCGGTGAGGGTGCCTGGGAAAGAAAAGACGTGCTTGTCAATAGCATCCCAGGTAGAAAACTCTCATTTGCTGTTCCTAGGTGGCCGAGCTGAAGGCAAGCAACCAATCTTAGTGATGTCAACTCAGAGAAATTCTTGTTTTAAAAATGGCATCTTGTCCTGGCTTGTGCAGCTCAGTTGTTGGGCGTCATCCATGCACTGAAAGGTTGCTGGTTTGATTCCCGTCAGTGCACATGCCTGGGTTGCAAGCTCAATCCCTAGTAGGGGACGTGCAGGAGGCAACCGATTGATGTTAAGCTCTCACATTGATGTTTCTCTCTCCCTCCTCTCCCTTCCTCTTTCTCTAAAAATCTATGAAAATAAAAAAATAAAAATAAATAGCATCTTTATCAAGTAATGATGACTAGGGGCTTATGAAAATCTTGCTGCCATATTAAACATTTTCTCTGGCGCATCATAGCTTTGAGGAATGGGGCTTTGAAGATAAATTTGACTTGACATAGAGAGGAAATATTTGGTGACTGTCAAGATTTTGGCAAAAGTATCATTTCCTCCTGTGTCAGTAGACGAACACACAGGCACCAGATCTTGGTTGGTAAAAGCCCAGCTCTCCAAGTTTCATCCAGCCACCTTGCTGTTCATGGAATGGTTCACCAGAGAACTGGTTGAGAGGGTCAAGGTGAATTCTCATATAAAGACAAAATGCAGCTGAAAGTAGAATGAAAGAAGAGCTTTTTATAAGTTTTGATTTTTTTTGTGTGCCATCCCAGTATCCTCTGTATGCCAGGCAAGGATCACATGTATTTGTGTAGTGAATAAATGATTAGCAATTGGTGTAGGGATGGTATGTGTGTCTGTGCAGACAGACGGTAAGTTCATCCCATTATTTCCCACAGTGCAGTTCATGTGATCGTTTGTTTTCATGAAAGATGAGCTGAATTCTTTTCAGGTAAAATGAAAATCCAAGCTGGCTCCTCAGAGGCCTAGACGATGAAATTTCTTATAAAAGTCAGTTGAGTGTCTTTGCAACCTGCTGCCCAAAGTGCTCCACTGTTTATAAGAAAGGAAGCTAGAGTTTTGTGTGTTTGGAGACCAAATTACCAGCCCAAACCTCGGACACGTTAGGCAAAGCTCGTCCCCAGTGCTGTCAGCAGAGGGCAGGCTGCTGTACACTTGCAGGAAGACTTGGCCTTGAGGTAAACATGCAGACCACAGGTGTGGCCTCAGAACCAACTCCCAGACAGGGATTTACTCAGAGAGGCTCCAGGCCTGAGATGGAGGAGGGGTTGGAAGGACCAGAGGAGGACTCCAGTCCTGCCGATGCGATGCCAATGTCCATCAGTGGTCTGCTTCCCACCCTCCTCCCTCTGCTCGATTTGCTGAGAGGTTCCAGGACCCCCCCCCCCCCCCCCCGCAAGCCTTTCCAGTACAGTACTCCTCACCACTCCAACAGCTTTGCTATTGTTGATTTTTTTTTTTTTTTTTTTTACCTTTCTTACAAATAAGCAGAGGCCCAATCAGCCCAGAGTTGAAGTCCTGTATCAGATTTTCATAGGAGTAGTAGATGTACGTGAGGCATGACGAGTCATCCTGTGTGGGCCCACTGTCCTCACTGATGGTCCACTCGTAGGTATATTCGTGGCCGGGAGCTACAGCATCATCCAGCTTCTCGGCAGGGAACGTGTGGTCAGGGTAGGAGGCACCTGGAGAAGTAAAGGTCATGAAAACACGTGGGCAGTGCGTGAGGCGGGCAGTGCATGAGGCTCGCCGTGCTATCACTCTCAAGCTCGAGCAACATGAGGCCTCTATAGAGGTCGCTGTGCCTTTCCACAGCGAGCCTCCGTTGTTTGAAAAGATTCACATTGCATCCACTTCCTGTCTAGGTAATTACTAAGGCTTTGAGTCCATGTGTTCTGACGTGAATAAGAAAGGTTACTAGTACATTATTTAAGGTGTAGGAAGTTAATTTTCCAGGGTCTCTAAATAATTATTATTCAAATGTAATCAGAGAATTGAATCATCTCTGATCAGGGAATCATTTCACAACATGAGAATGGATTGTATCTTTTCTGTGGTGCTTGACAAGACATCTTCCATTTAACCTCCTGTTAGCATGGGATGTAGCTATATGCCGAGCTGTTTATATATTGTTGTTGTTGTTTTTATCTTTAAGTTTTTCTTTTCTTCTTTCCAACTGCTGCCACCCTCAGCCCTTATCTCTTTGTCACATCTCTACCATCTGGTTATCCTAAGTCCTTCCCCAGAGTCTTAGAGTCTGGCTCCCATAGGCAGTCTAGTTGTCCTTAGAGTATGAAATGTGTCTACCCTCTGAAATGTAGATGTCTTGCTTTGGTCCTTTGTGTACCCAAACACCCGTCATTAACACCTTGGTGCCTACTCATTTTTCTCTGCTGGTGGGAGAGGGGGAGGATGTAGAAATTGGTCTTCCTTATTGAAGAGAGGGAATTGAGATTTTGAAGATTAAAAGAATTGCGGAGGGTTGGGTGTGGCTTTCAACCACAGAAGGGCTAGAGACGAGCGAGTGAGGTCAGGAAAGGGAGAGGTCAGGGTCATAGATAGCCAAGTGGGATGGGCAGCTTCCCCTGTTTGAAGCACTCCTCATTTGATTGGGTGAAAGTTTCACTATGACCAACTGGTATCAGAATTTCTCTTTGGGGTACAGTTATCTTTGGTACAAGAGCCTGATGAATTCCTTGAGGTGGAAGGTGAGACCTTCAGAGTGTAGACGTGGGCAGATAATTGGGTAAAAACAACAACAACCCTAAAATGTTTTCTATGATGGGGTAAAGGGCCAGTGGAAACTACTCTTACTGAAGTGACTGTACTCTTTGAAAACAAAAATGTTTTATTGTTTTTCCTACCTTTTCCCTGTTTATTTTCTTCTCCTCTTTATTCCTCCCTGCCTTTCACCATCTTTCTTGAGTTATAAACTACATACAATAAAAGGCACCAATTCTAAGTATATCTGTTGAGGTTTGACAAATGTGTTCAGTCCTATAGACAATCAAGGTACAAGACATCTCTACACTCCAAAACTTCTGCCTCCTGTGCCATTCCTGGCCAATGCTGTCCCCACCCTCTCGGCCCAGATAACCACTGATTTGCTTTCTGTCACTGTATTTTGTTTTCCAATAATGTAATAAAAATGGAATAATACATTATGTATACCCCCTTGTGCTTGATTGGTGTTAGTATGATTTATCTTTTCTATCCTGTATTGTTTTACCTATCTTGTCTTTAATTTAAAGTGGATTGCTTGAGTTCAGCATACAATTGGGTGTTGCTTTTTATCCAGCCTTACAATCTGTCTCTTAGTTGTATTGTTCTTCCCATTTGTTTCTAATATGATTATTTATATGCTTGGGTATTTGTCCATCTAGTCTTTGTTCCTTCTCTTCTTTCTTGATTTTTCTTGGGTTGAATATTTTTTTTTCTCACCCAAGGATATGTTTTTATTGATTTTACAGAGAGAGGAAGGGAGGGAGGAAAAAAGGGAAAGAGAGGGAGAGAGAGAGATGTGAGAGAGAAATATTGATCCATTGCCTTCCATATATGTCCCAACTGAGGCTAGAACCTGAAACCTAGGTATGTGCCCTGACCTGTAATCAACCCCACAACCTTTTTAGTGTACAGAGGACACTCCAACCAATTGAGCCACCCAACCAGGGCTGGATTGAGTAATTTTTATGATTCCTGATTATCTCCACTACTGGCTTGTTAGCCTTGCTTTGTTTCCCACTCTGTAGACAGAATGATTCCTTAAAATCCCAGATCCTACTTTGCCATGCTCCTGCTTAAAATCCTGACAGTGATCTATCCCTACTTCTCTCTCCATTCTATTATGTGTGACTCTTTCCCCCGTACATTGTGTATCACTCCCTCGGGCCCCTTTGGTTCCCTGGACTGATACACAATGCTCCCTCCTCCCTCAGATCTTTGCAGACAATATTCCCTCTGCCCAGGGTGCTCTTCTTCCCTTCCTGCCTTGGATAAGTGTGTGCTCATGCTTGATGTCAACTTAAATGCAAGCTTATTGCTTCCCTGATCTCTCACTGTGCTATGCACATTTTTATTTTACAACACATGTCATGATTTTTAATTGAATATGTGTGATATTCCATGATTAATTTCATTTTATCCTTCTAGATAATAATTATTTGCCTCCTGCACATGTGACCTGAGCGAGGTCCTCTAAGGCAGGTGCTGGGTGGCATTTGTCTTAGAATCTCTGGTGCCTGTCACAGTACCTGGCACGGACAAGAGCTCGATGACTGTTTATTGAACTCTTCAGATTTAAGGCCCTCAGCTAGAACCAAGGTCATCAAGTCACTCATGGGTTTCATTAGAACTGCATAGTGTTAAAACAAGTTCAATGCCAACATTAACAACATGGAGATATTATATAAGAATATGGACTGCTGGTCTCTCTTAAAAACAAAACCAACAAAACCTGGACACTGGTGACACTGACCTAACTCCTGCATAGAATTGGCCTGGTCCTGAATCCTGATGACCCTTCAGATAGGACACAGAGCTCAGATCAACAGTGCCTACTGGACTTATTTCTCATTGAGTTACCCTCCTGGCGACCAGAATATCTGAGTTTGTGACCCTTGTGCTAGTAAATAGCTTCACTGGGATTTTTTTGTATCTTTCCTTTTTCCCAAAAGATACTATGACATTGATAACCAATCTTTACTGTCGACTGAACTTTCACTCGGTTGATAAGAAGCGTTTGAGTGTTAAAATTATCAGGGGCTGAGAAATGTTAAAAGCTCAAATGACTTCTGGTGAGTAATAATATCATTTCAGTCTCAATCAAACAGGAAAGAAAAGCATTTGTGTGGAAAAGCCTCTGCTGATAAACAGGAAGGACTATCTCTGGAAAGTTGCAAAATAGCTTCTGTAGCAAAGCACACACAGGGCTGATAAGGGAAGCCGCCCTTTCAGGGTGGACTTGTCTATTGACTGGAACACATGTGGCGAGTTGTCCACAGGGTCCATCTCGAACCCAGTTGCCAGCCCTTAGTCAGTGCCTCATGCTTCGTGGCCTCATGAGGTTAAGAAAGAATATTTCTGGACGCGATGCATCCAGTGTTTCAACTGTTAAAACAGCACAGGGAATGCCTATAGTAGAAAGTGAAATTCTTTTCATTGCCTTCACGAGCTCTCAAAAAGACAAAACGTGGTATTCTGTGTAGGGTAAGAGAGAATGTTTGAAGTTCTCCCTCTCTTTCTTTGGATAAAGGCATGCTCATTCCTCAGATATCAGCTTCAGTGTCAGCTTACTCATTCCCTGATCTCTGATTATATATCTCACAATATAGATGTGTACATGCCTGTATATCATCTGTGATTATGATATGAGTATATATACACATAGCAGCATTATATACTAGCTACACTAATAAAAGACAAAGATGCTAATTGACCGTACCTTTGCTATGCCCCCAAGTCACTCCCACCAGCCAATCAGAGCAACTATATGCAAATTAACCCAACCAAGATGGCAGCCGGCAACCATGGAGCTGGAGCAAGCAGGAGTCTTGGTTGCCCTGGCGATGGAGGAAGCCAAGCTTCCCTCAAGCCCTGGCCAGCTCTGAGCTCCACTCAAGGCAACAAAGTTTCAATTATAGAAGATAAACAAACCCCAGATACCTGCTTCCAGCCAGCCTCCACTGGGAGCTTGGGTGGCTGGGGGCCATGGCCAGCCTGCAAACAGCCATTAGCCCCTCACCCAGGCTGGCCAAGCAGCCCAGGGGGGACCCCCACCCTGAAGGGGCTGTGGCCAGCCTGAAAACGGCCCTCAGCCCCTCACCCAGGCTGGCCAGGCACCCCAACGGGACCCCCACCCTGATTTGGAACACCCTTCAGGGCAAACCAGCTGGCCCGCACCCATGCACCAGGCCTCTATCCTATATAATAAAAGGGTAATATGCAAATTGACCCTAACAGCAGAATGACTGGGAATGACTGGTCACTATGACACACACTGACCACCAGGGGGCAGACGCTCAATGCAGGAGCTGCCCCCCCTGGTGGTCAGTGTGCTTCCATAGGGGGAGCTCTGCTCAGCCACAAGCCAGGCTGATGGCTGCCAGTACAGCGGTGGTGGTGGGAGCCTCTCCTGCCTCCTCAGCAATGCTAAGGATGTCTGACTGCAGCTTAGGCCTGCTCCCCACTGGCAAGTGGGCATCCCCCGTGGGCTCCTGGGCTGCCAGAGGGATGTCTGACTGCCAGCTTAGGCCCAATCCCCTGAGGAGCGGGCCTAAGCCAGCAGGTGGTTATCCCCCGAGGGGTCCCAGACTGTGAGAGGGCACAGGCCGGGCTGAGGGACCCCCCCTGCCCCCTGAGTACACAAATTTTTGTGCACTGGGCCTCTAGTATATATATAAAACAGCATTCATCATGATTTTAGTTAAATATTTGTGAGATTATATGATTAATGATACTTTCTCCTGCTTAATTTAAGAGAAAGCCCAGGCGTTTTGGGGTCAGAACTGTAACTTTTGGTTGTACCACCTACTAACTGCATGAACTTAGGAAAGTTTCTTAGCGTCCCTTTTAGCCTCAGTTTTCTCATTCATTATTACATAATATAATCTTTGTTCTAGCAATAATATTATTATTTTTGATGGGTATGAAGACCAGAAAATATAGGCAAAATGTCTGGCACCTAGAT